GCCTGCATTTAAGGGGACTCTGGCGAAGGATATTGCTCGTAATTCTTTGCGGTACACACCAAAACGTCAGGAAAATGCACTTAAGTGTAAGTTTTGAAATATATATGCTTTGTGTGTTAATAAGTTTTGCGATGTTACATGGTAAGAAGCATAAATGTCTGATGAAGAATTACGAAGACAGTAATTCAGTTGGTAGAGCTTTGGCCTTTGAGCCAGAGGGTCATGGGTTCGAGCCCGAGTTTCACCATTGACTCTCACCGTCTGCTGTTGTTGTGTCCTTGGCAAGACACTTCACCTCTGGGAAAACCAGCCACAGTGAGGCGGCTGCGGCTGTGTCCTTAGGCAAGACACTTTACCCCCATTGCCTAGAATGAGTCTGGTATGTGTGTGTGAATGGTTGGTGGTGGTCGGAGGGGCCGATGGCACATACTGGTTGCCTCGCTTCTGTCAGTGTGCCCCAGGGCAGCTGTGGCTACAGTAGTAGTTTATCACCAACGTGTATGGAGTGAAAGAATAATGACATGTGAAGTGTCTTTGAGTGTCCAAAAAAAGTGCTGTATAAAACCGATGCATTTTTAGTTACAATTTCATATTTTTTTTAATGCAAGCATTCATATAACATTCAAATTAAACTTTACATTTAGGATGTATAATACATTTAGGATGTATAAAAACTTACCAGATAACAGTTACCCACATTTAACTTAAAATTATACAGCTATCTCAAATATAGATAATAATATTGGGTATTCTTAACCAATATACATTTATTTTAACGTGTGTGGAGCAACTCATCAACTACTACTTTTGTTTCCCACAGGGTCGGACGAAATAACCTTTATAAAGTTTAGGTCTGAAAATGACCATCTCTTGACTTGTCGATGACGTTACCTGCACTTTCCCAATTCCGCCTTTATTGCACGCTTGTAACCTGCGCATGCAAACCCTTCCGTGCACTTCAAACAAATGTACACTTCGTAGAGGAGTGTAGGGTGCAGTGTGGGTATTGGGACAGGGCCCCAATCATTTCAATCTGCAAAAGGAGTTAACCCCTCCCAACTGTTAACAGAGCTCAATGGAGCACCTCCAGACCTTAGTACGAAATCTAATTTGTACTATGGTGTGGTACGACCAGGCTATGTTACTTCATAGCTATTCCTCTACCATATATTGTAAAATGTTGTTCTGCATTGAAATTCTGGGCTCCAAATGTCTGACCTTAGCCTTCAAGACTGGTCCAGAGTGTGACTGCCAGGGCTTTTTCAGATCAGGGAAGTGCTTTGCAGTGTTTTCAGGGAATTTCACCTATCTTTGAGGAGCCACAGAATATTCAGTTATTTGACAATACAATACAATAAGAACTCTTGACCCTTTGACCTATAAAAGATGAGATACTTAGCTTTAATTTGAAAAAAATAAAAATTTAATGGGTTTACCTTTTACCGTTCAAGAGCAATCTGTCAAAGAACCTAATATAGTTTCACCCTAATCAGCTGTTGCTGACCATAAAATAGATAAAACTATCGTTCAGTGAACAGTAACATATCAAGCATAAAACTGTTGACGTCTTTCTTGTCCCCATCTTGTGTCATCCATAGACCTATAGATCCATGTTTTTAACCCCAGAAGTGAACAGAGGGAAGAAGATTGCATTACTACTCCACCTGGACCAGTATTGTAGCCTGGCTCTGCCAGACCCCTGTAGTTCCGCCATGCTCCACCAGAGGCGTTTGGTTGAACCACATGTGTGAAGTGCAGCGGACTATGGAAGACTATTGGCACCTTAATTCAATTGTCTATTCATTTGTCAAATGGCTATGCATTATGTTATTTTAGTATTTATTTTGGTATTTGTATTTGTCAAAGTGTAATGTTATATCCAATTTTGACATTTAATGTTCTATTCCAAAAGTTCTAATGGCAATTCAATATGTAAAGTGTCGATACAATGCCTTTATATATTTGCAAATTACACGATTTTGAAATGAATAGCATACTGACATGGAAATTTGGCCTCTTTATTCATTGTTCTATTCATTCTTAACATGGCATTTAGTTTAAAGTTGTATTTGGCAAAATTGCATTTTATATCCTATTTTGACTTGTATTCCACATTTGAGTATGTTATGTTTCATTTAAAAGATTTGTGCGTGCGTAACCAGATTTGTATGTACGTATCAAGATTTGTGTGTTTTTCAGGACACCTCTGTGATGGCACAATGAACATGTGATCAAAGTTATGGACTGCCTATTTACAAACCAGTTGAGGCTTCATACTCTGCATTGCCCACCACCTCTAGGTGTGTGGACGTAAAAAAAATTACACACACACAAATCTTTTTACGCACACACAAATCTTGATACGTACATACAAATCTGGTTACGCACGCACAAATCTTTTTACGTACACACAAATCTGGTTACGCACACACAAATCTGGTTACGCACGCACACATCTTTTTACGCACACACAAATCTGTTTACGCACACACAAATATTATTGAAACAATAATAGCTCCATACGCATCTAGCTAGGAGGATATAGACTTGTCTCTGATTGGCCGAGAGCGGACCAGGGCCCGCCTTCCCAGGGGTCAAGAACTGCATAGCATATTGAATTAAGTTGCACTCAAACCATGTGGCAATGCAATATGCAATATGCAATGCAATCCAGAGGGAGGTGCTGTTTCACAACACATTAAATGAAACTTAAAATACTCAAATGTGGAATACAAGTCAAAATAGGATATAAAATGCAATTTTGCCAAATACAACTCTAAACTAAATGCCATGTTAAGAATGAATAGAACAATGAATAAAGAGGCCAAATTTCCATGTCAATATGCTATTCATTTCAAAATCTTGTAATTTGCAATATATAAAGGCATTGTATCGACACTTTACATATTGAATTGCCATTAGAACTTTTGGAATAGAACATTAAATGTCAAAATTGGATATAACATTACACTTTGACAAATACAAATACAAAATAAATACTAAAATAACATAATGCATAGCCATTTGACAAATGCATAGACAATTGAATTAAGGTGCCAATAGTCTTCCATAGTGGACTACATGGGTCTGGCGAGAGTCAGGCTACCAGTATTGTAGATTGAAGGGAATTTTTCATAGCATTAAAAAAAATCAACAACAAGGTATATTGAAAAAAGAAGCTTGGTTTCATGTGTGAGGGACCAGTAGGCATAAACCCAACTTGTTTTTAAATCAAAAGGTCAAAGGGCTAAGTAGATTTTTTGAATGTGTTGAATATCTAATATAAACCTTTACCGCGCTGTTATACTGGGACATTTTCAGGACACCTCTGTGATGGCACAATGAACATGTGATCAAAGTTATGGATGCAGGTTTGGTTAAGAAATATTTTGATGCCCATTTACGCTCGGTGTTGCTTTCACATTTAAACTGCCTATTTACAAACCAGTTGAGGCTTCATACTCTGCATTGCCCAACACCTCTAGGTGTGTGGACGTGCACGGGAGGCTGCTGCAGCACAACACGTGTGACCACGCCACTCCTCTCCTTCTCTCCCGCCTCCTGCCACTTCTATAATCTGCTCTAAATTCAAGGATAAACATTTTCTCAGTCTGATTTGAGATTAGAGGCACAGAGACTGAGCTGTTTTCTGCCCTGTTGAATCCCAAATCGCAGAAATAAGAATATAAACTTGAAAAGTAATTTTCTAAAGTATCATACTTTGAAATTACGTGTTGACATACAATGGATGAGCTTGAGCTGACTCCAATCCATCCCAGCTGAGTCCAGGGCCTTCTAGTCTGCATGCACGTAAAGGCAGGTTCATGGTATTATTGTTCTTGATCAAACCATGTGTGCAGAGAGTTGTGCAGAAGTGTGTCTTTTGAACATTCAGTTTTATCCAAGGATCTGGGTTTTATCTCACAGTGAAAGTAAGTAAGTAATCTTTATTTATATACCGCCTCTCACAGACCAGAGTCACAAAGCGGTTTACAATTGTTATTATTTTTGGGCACTTGTCCTCTCACTCCACACAGAGATGGGAGCGGGGTCGCCAGTACAGGAGGCGCATGCCAGACCTACTGTACATGTTTTTAGTGGTAGGGGAAACCGGAGCACCCGGAGGAAACCTATGCAGACCATCAACAGATTATTAGAATTCTCAAAGTCTTCACATTTTCACTACTAATCCCCACACATGCATACACAAACCTGAAACACCCAAAGCAATCTATACGTTGAGGACAAAACTATGGTTTACACCTAAGGATCACCATTTCACAGGAATAATGCAAAACCATAATTTTATCTGCATTTCCTATTGTGTAAATATACTTGGAGCGTTTAAACGTCTCTCAGTTTATGCAATCCATGTTTGAAAATATTTTTGTTTCCTTGAGTGCTCAGAAAGAACCCTCCCAGCCACTCAAGTAAAAGTACTTTTTATAAAATGTAGAAATGTGCTCTAAACTCTTTCAGATGTAAACTGTACTTAACTGTACTGTTAATAATTATTGGTTGTCTTGTCTTTTTTGGAACGGCAAGTGATGGGATTAGGATTGAAATGTTGATACAATTGATTGATTTATGTCCAACCCTAAACACAAAAACATGTTTGTGACTCACATGGAGTTCCTTTCAACAAAAGGTGCCTTACTTTCCGGTATGACAAAGCTTAAGAGCCATCTCTCATCACAGACACTAACAAGTTGAACCAGTTCATATAGCCCTGTATTACTGTACCAATCTATGAACAGACATAAAATCTGCATTATATGTAATAAAATATAGAATCCGGGAAACTTGATGTGACATCTGGTCCATACAGATTCAGTGTATCACAAAAAGTATCTTCAGTGTCCAAGTCAAATTAACCTGTTCCACTCCTGGCCTTATCTTTGAAGATTGATAGTTTGAGGGTCACTCAATTTTATTATTGTTTTTTCAGTAAACACTAAGAGATATTTGGACTAGGAGATATTTGACCTTTCTGGTGTTCAATGTGCAGGCTTAGCGCCACATGGAACCACCCTGACTTGGGAGGCCCAGGTAAACACACCTTTTGATGATAGAACAAACGGCAGACAGAAGGAAAGACAAAAAGAGTAGGCGGAGCAAACATCTTTGGCATCTGTGGACAAACCAGAATACAGACATGCTGCTGCTCTATTGCAACAACATGGACTGGCTGTAGAAGACGGCCATACTGCCTCGCCACGGTAAGAAGCAAGTCGTTTTCATCACACGTTTTTACATACTGACTCACATTCAAACACCAGCAAATAATCCATATTTGATATACATTTGTAAACTCTGCCAGTGGATAGAATGTATGTTCTATCTATCTATCTATCTATCTATTTTTTCCTCCTTTTGTATTCTGCCTTAATGTGAGCAATGATTTCACTGATATTTCCCCACTGAGGGACGGATGGAGGTTTATCTTATCTTATCTTACTTTCAGAGTGATACGCTTCAAGATGACGACTGACAAAACAAGCTCCTACTCTACTATTCAGAAAGTCTCAGAGGACCAAGACTCTGTAAAGGTATACAGAGATAATGCATAAAAAACCCTTAGGGAGACTCTGGTGTATTCGTTTTGGTCAGGGACTGAATTTGAAAAAATAAGGCCAATTTAAAAAATATATATAATTATCATTCATATTACAAAGGTATATAGACAGATTTTATTTGTACAAGGTTAAGGTTCACCTATTTCTAACTATTTCTCTCCGTATGGCAATTTGCCCTCTGCATTTGACCCATCCTGTAACACACTTGGGCCTCTGAGAGGAGTGGTTCCCATAGAGGCCTGGGATCCTGTCTCCAGATGTTGAGGCTCTGTTTGTTCAGGACTGGAGCTGTAGGATTTTACCTATTATACCGGAGCATCCGGAGAAAACCTATGCAAACTCCACTCAGAAAGGTTCTTCTGGAGGTGGAATTTAACCTAGGACCTTGTTGTTGAGAAGCAAGAGTGCTGCACTTTCTGAATGAACTAGTTTTGGAATTAACCAAATATATCTCTAATGTTGCAGGTGAATTAGAGGAGAAGGGGTCCTGTACCTTTCATGTTGTGCTGCTTAGTGGGAGGAAGCACACTGCCACATAACCAAGATGTAGGGGACTTTTAATAAACAAGTGGCTTCCATTGTGACACACATTGGCCAGATGTATACAAGCAATAATCCCCAAATTAAAATTTTAATTTCTCCATTGTGAGATCAATAAAGTTTATCTTATCTTATCAAAACAAAGGTGAACAAAAGAAATACGGCTACTCAGATTCCTTTGACTTCTGAACTGAACACTGGCGACTCCTATATTTAGTGTATACTCCAATAACATACAACATGTAACATAACATATAACCCCATGACAGTTACTTTTATTTTAAGCCAAAAGAAAACGTTGGTGGTTTGTGTGCACTGCATTGTATAGTCCAGAGGACGAGAACTGTCTTCCCGTAGCCCCCAGTCTGTATTTTACTGCATATGCATGGCTTTTAACAGCTGCAGCAGCACTCAGACCTACAACAAACAGGTTTGATATCTCCATGATCACGCACTTCAGCAGTCAGTTAAAACATAAAGAATGATTTTGATTATTGTGGGTCATTATAACGTGGGTGCATTAAACTATTAACTGCTGTAGTCATAATGGCCCATCACCATTTTTTCTACAACTTTAAAAATTATGTTGCAGGCCAGATTTGGGCCAGGGGCCGGAGTTTGACATGACTGACATTAGGGTTATTTTCTTTGACAGCCCTGTGACGATGAAAAGAAGCAGAACACGAATGCCCCCACAATCAGCTCTGAGCAGCAGTCCAGCACGTCTCCTGGTCCGTCCGAGGAGTCCAGGGAAGATGACAGGATCCAAAGATACAGAGGTAACACACATCCTCTCAGTCCACAACATGTGATTAGTGAGACATTCCCAGGTTTTGTGCTTTGTCTAAATATGAATTTCATTTGAACTATAAGCTTCTATTTTTCTAAGTTCTTTGAACCATATATAACAATGCTGCCAATGCATTTATTTTTTATTGTGGTTGCATCCCCTAAGGGCACAGGAACGAACCTGGACACAGCTCTATCATCTGTTTATGTTTATGTGAACAGCAGAGTGAGCCCAAGGAAATGCAGGAACAATACACAGGACTGTTGTCAGAGCAGAGTTCATGTCCGTATTATTTTATTTTCCATCAAGCTTATTTGTAGCTATAGGACAAATTTTTATTGTCATTATAGATTGTCATAGAATGTAATAGTTACATTACAGCAGAATAGAAGAAGATATAAGAGCACTCAGATTATGCACACATCAAACAGGATCTATTTTTTAAGATATTACATAAATAGATTATAATAATATAATAATATTAATAATCAACATGGAAGCTAACCGTTGAGGTTAGCATTCCAATGTGAGCTAATCCTTTCCTCCTCAGAGTTTTGTTATTTACTAAACTTTAACAAGTCAGACAGGGTGCAAAAGCACCTCATTAAATCCTGTTGTCTACAGTCGTCTTATCAGCTTTGTTTGGCTCCATCAGCTGTTGGTTAAGCGTTATATTACAACATTATATTATAATATTATATTAACTTTCTTTACATATTTTGCTGGTGTGGTTTATGTGCAGTTAGGCTTAATTCTCCAGAAACATTTACAGAGGTTTAAATGCAAACAATGTCATTAATTGCATCTGACAGAGATATGAATGGAAGCAAACATGACAGAAGTTTTGAACACTTAAACTTAAAGTGACAAAAACAATATGCATTAAATATAATGTGGATCAGATATCATTATCATCATCATCATCATCATCATTTATTTCTTCAGACTCTGCGTCCACACAAGAAAAACAATTACAGACAGACACCAAATTACAGAAGTACCACCATTACACCAGTGTTCCCAAAAAGGAGACTGGTGTTGTACTTAGTGAGTAAGTAATCTTTATGTATATAGCGCCTTTCACAAACCGCTTTATCATAGTTTGTCCATTTGTGGGCATTTGTCTCTCACTCCACACAGAGATGGGAGCAGGGTCACCACACAGGAGGCGCATGCCAGACCTATTGTACATGTTTTTACTCCAAGCAGAAAGGCACCAGGTCAGAAAGCGGATCGGACTGGCGACTTGACCTGAGGTTCACTTGCGGCACCACCAAAGAAATCTCAGTTATTGTCAAGTTGACTTTGCTTATAGGTTTTATCCAGTGCTGTATCTAAGTTCACTTGTGGCTTTAGCTCACATGTGTTTCTGCTATTCCCAGCCTGCTTCAACCGATGAGAGCAAACATGAAGAAGCCCCCATGCCCGCACCCCTTCCCAGATCCAAAATGACCCTTGATGGTCCTGAGAACCAGAGCGACACAGTCACGTCCACGGAGCAAGATGACGAACCAGTAAGAAAAAAGGATTTGGCTTTATGTGTGGGGACAAGTTGTGACCATGTACTTCAGTGTCTAACCTAACTTTGTCATCAGAATACTTCTACCGAATTGGCCAAACCTCCTCCAAACCCTCCTGATAGCATTTACGAGCTGGTCCTTGAACCCAAAGCACCACAAAATGTAAGTAAACACTGGATTTTGCAATGTGTAGAGAAGAAGACAGGATGTAATCTTCTCTACGACATTTTTTTTGCAATGTATGTACTGTATGTGTTACATGTGTCCAATCTCTATTTATTTATTTATTTGATTTATTTATTTGAATGGGACAGTGCATGTCAGTGAACAGACACATTAGAAACATGAATGTAAACATGCCAGATTATAGCCAAAGTGTAATTTCCATCTGTAGTCCCATTGGGTTAGGGTCACAAGGGTTAAATACAACAACAACAACAGAAACTAAAGATAAAAATAAAAACAGCAGCATTAATAGTCACATTAGAGTCCACAACATTGCACACACCTCGTTATTGCACACATCCAGGTATTGCACACATCCTTCCATTACAGTCAACCAAATATTAGTAGTAGTTGTAGTAGTAGTAGTAAGTAAGTAAGTAGATTTTGTGTGTAAATATTGCACCTATTTACACACAAAACCTCATTGTACATAAGTTCACATTATGGTGCTCATTTGAGTCAAACTTAACCTCTCAAATGAAGAAAAACTAGAAACCTCAGAGCACTGCATTCTGAATACTTAGAATACTTTTGTCCTTATTTGCATAATATGTCAAAATGTAGCTTTTCCCCCGTAGCAAGAAATGCTAAAACACACATACAGATATACATACAGTACACACACTCAAACACAGATCTGGATTTTCAAAAAACTAAAACTAAAAAACTATTTCAGACACTTTGTTTTGGAAATGAACTATTAAAATATCCTTGGCGTTTGAGAATTAATTGTATATAGTTTAGTTTATTTAGTTAAAAGGGACCATGTACAATTAGAACATAAATGCTATATACTTGGTATCTGTATTTGGTTGCACTCAGTATATACAGTATTCTCATGATGCTGTGGACATCTTAAAGATTATGTGTTCATGTCGTCTTCTTAGCCCATGTTGAATTCAAGAGTGCTGTGCAGAGAAAAATAATGAGGGCATAAAGAAAATTGTGTCCGACAAGTTCTAAAAAGTATTAAAAGCAAAATAGAGAGTAACAAAACTGTACAATAGCAACAAATGAATGTAATAAAAGCATAGATTATCATAAAAGACTGTACAACGAGAATGTGTAACAGGAACTGCTGAGTCTGCACGAGTGTCACTGATAATTCACCAGTAACTTTGTCACTAGTGACTTTACCTGTTATCAGTACTACTACAGTATTACATATCTGATATTTACTGTTATCAGTACTACTGTATTATTACATATCTGATAATTCTGCCTTTCACCAGTCACTTTACCTGTTGATATCTTACTGTATTACTACATATCTGATAATTCTCCCATTCAAGTCACTTTACCTGTTGATATTATTTCTGATGTTTATTCTGCTCATATTCATATTCATATTCTCCGCTGCTAATGTATAATATAGACATCTGTAAATACTCCGAACCGAGTGCAATTATAGCCCAGAGTTTATCTTATTTTATTTTATTTTATCTTAAATTTATTGTCTATTATCTTAAATAATAGACTTTGATGTGTGCAATCTGAGTGCTCTTATTTCCTTTCAACGATGACACTGAAATTTCTCCACTGTGAGACTAATAAAGGTTTATCTTATCTTATCTTATCTAAAACATACTGCGATAAAAGGATCAGAGTAGTGTCTTCAATGGAAACTACTGCAATATTGTTCAAAAGTGTGAGATTTCATATCACTTTGAAACAACTTTTGTTAAGGTTAAACTCATCATTCTATCAATGTGCAGAAGCCTGTACTTTTCCACTTCATGTTTTGACTTTCTCTGCTGGCACTGTGGCAGCTGCTGATTGGAGGACTCTGTTTCTCCTGAGTATTTTACAACTTGCTGTCGTAACATCCCTTGTTCGTGTTGTTCGTGCTGTCTCTACCATTGACAATAAAACATGTCTTCTGTCTGAATGAAAGACACGATCCCAGACTTTGTCATCTTCTTCAAAAGTTCATTTATTTCTGTAATTCAACTTAAAATGTGAAACCAATATGTGAAAAAAAACGTATTTTGCGCAAAGTGACAACACTTTTGTTTGTTAGAATTTTTAGATTATGACTTCCACAGATACATTTTTGGGGTTTTTGCAAGCTGGGACATCTCTCTTTGTGTTATTTGTGTAATTATGTCTGCCATTTATTATAATAATAATGAATAATGCATCAGTTTTATACAGCGCTTTTTTGGACACTCAAAGACGCTTCACATGTCATTATTTTTTCTCTCCATACACGGTGGTGATGAACTAATACTGTAGCCACAGCTGCCCTGTGGCACACTGACAGAAGCGAGGCAACCAGTATGTGCCATCGGCCCCTCCGACCACCACCAACCATTCACACACACACCAGACTCATTCTAGGCAATGGGGGTAAAGTGTCTTGCCAAAGGACACAACGGCAGTTTGGCACTTTACAGCCGCAGCCAATTATTAGTTTCACATTGTGAGTTGAACTGCAAAAAAATACAGGTTTTCCGAGTTTCACCTGTAATGTAGGGCCAAAAATGGATCGAGTCTGCCTTGATTCAATTTTGAACCGTGTGTCATGACTTTGGGGCGACAGTAGCTCAGTTGGTAGAGCATTGGCCTTTGAGCCTGAAGGTCATGGGTTCAAGCCCACCGTAAGACCTACTTCACAACTCCCACTGACGACTGCTGTCGTTGTGTCCTTGGGCAAGACACTTAACCCCACTTTGCCTGAAGCCCCCACTGAAAGATCTCAGCTCCTGTGGACTCACCACCTGCAGGAGGATCAGTGAGGGGCTGGTGCTCTGTGTACTGGGTGGCATCTCTGGCCACCCCCCTGACCCAGAAATGGATTAAGGGGAAGAAAATGGATGGATGGATGGATGGATGGTGTCATGACTTCGGTCTTTTGGTCATCCTGGAGAGCAGCTGTGTGCTTACACGAGTTCACTCCATGGACTCTCCAGGCAAGGCAAGGCAAATATATTTGTATAGCACTATTCATACACAGGGCAGCTCAATCAGCTTCTCACTCTCCTATTGACTATTGACTTTAATCTTATGTACTGTATTTTTATTTTGTATTGGGTACCCTTCCTATGCTTTCAGTTAAAAATCATTGTCTTGAAACATTTTAAATAAAGCCTGCAGCCTGAGTCCGCGATCTACATCTTACTCTTCCGTGGATCTCTCTCTCAATGGGCCTCCCCAATGTTTCTCACATTTTTTCCCCAACTGTTGTTCCTTGCTGATGTAGACAGTTATGGACATTAGTCATCCTGCTCCCTATGGACCAATGGCTTCAATGGGTTTGTTATTATTGCATTTCCTGTCATCAAACTGTTTATTTCTCTGATCTATTGTTACCGAATCGAAGACGACTGCTGTTGTTATTTAGGGCTGTACACAAACACATATTGAATTGAGTGGATTTAACTCACAATGATAGGCTTTTAATTGATCCCTGTTCCCAGGTTCTCAAAAACATGGAACTCAAGCGATCCTCCTCGTGTCCTCGTCCTGAACGGCCCCCACCTCCTGTTGGTTATTACGGCTATCGCAGCTCTACACCTAAGGCCTCGTCTCTGGTAGTGTTTTGGACCCAGCGTTCTGGATATGGATATATGTGGCCGTGTGCTTTAACTTGAACGTGTTTGTTTCCTTTCAAAGACGTCTGATAACGAAGACAAAGAGTCCATCGCTTCTTCTACCAATTCCGACCAGCAGTCCCCGGTGTCTCCTGGTCCGACCGATGGGCAAGGGGTTCCGTTTGGCATATATAGATCAATGGTAAAATTATTTATAATTCAGTACTTTTATAATTGTGATTTACAGATTAGGAAGCAAGAGGGAGCGCTACTGCAGGGCCTTCCTCCCCACTGTCAGACTGTACAATGAGTCACTTAATGACTTTGCACTGCCATAGTCAATTGTACAGCCATAGTTAATTGTACATGAAATACCTTTATTGCACATAATATTTCAGTAAAGGTGTCAATTTGATTTCACAATTTCTCCATTGTGAAATCAAAAAAGTTTTATCTGATCTCATCTTAGTGGTAAAGGAAGTCTTTTTTATTTAGCATTCCAATGACAGTTTTCTAGTATGAGCTCGCAACTGAACCAACAGATGATATGTTTTACTGTAATTCAGAACGAGGATGTTGGGAAACCGGCTGTTCCACCTCGGCCCCCCCAACCCAAACAGCCCTACGTGTCCTCTGCATTGCTGACTTCTCAGGTATGTCTCGGTGAAGCTATCAATTACACTGGAAACTCAACTGCAAAAGCCGGCTCTAGATAATTGCCTCCTCGATGATAGATTGAACAGTACAATCGTTTAATTTTACTGATGGAGGATTTGTTGTGATACAGTCGAGACCCCCACCACCAGCGTTCAGACCCCCTCCTCCACCATCAGAAGAACCATTGTACAATGAGATACAATTTCCAGCTTATTTGCACATTCTGCCTGAGCATGATAACAAAGTGGTAAGTAATGATAGTGTTCAATGCACTAATGTGAGAATTCAGATAAGGTTAACTACAAAATAATCAGTTTACTTTTTCTCTACTTAGTTCCAGGACAAGTGCACCATCAATAGAAGTACTTCCTCACACCGTTCAAGCATGGCCTGCACACAGGTATTTCCCAAAGCTAATGACACTAACTAGATCTCAGCTCCTGTGGACTCACCACCTGCAGGAGGATCAGTGAGGGGCTGGTGCTAAGTGGACTGGGTGCAGCTCTGACTGCCACCCCCCCGACCCAGAAATGGATTAAGGGGAAGAAAATGGATGGATGGATGACACTAACTTAGATTCAATTACAAAAAAAGCCTCACGTTCCCAGAATTTTTTTCTTTTTTTCTTTACATTACGTTACATTTTTATCCCTTTATGAATCCATTTCTGGGTGAGGGGGTAAAGCACCAGTCCCTCGCTGATCCTCCTGCAGGTGGTGGGTCCACACCACCACCACCACTCACGTTCCCAGATTTAATTTGCTAAAATAAAACTGTATTATATCTCATACAAATATTTATCTAAAACCTGAGAATGTTATTATCTTGTTGTTGTGGCTTCTATCTCTTTCCAACGTTTAACGTAATAAACATTGCTTTCTTTAGGAAATACTTGAGATGTTGCGGTGGTTGAAAGTAGTGTCAAGTAAGTACACATTCTGGTTCAATAGTTAAAAAAGTGGTTTAAAAAGTTGTCATTTTTTACTATTTCAACAGAGACCGAATTCATGGCCCCATCTTTATATGGTGCTAGTTTAGAAGAGGAACTCAGGTAACGGACTTGAATATTGTGACAATATTGTTAAGATGGTATACATGTTCATAAATGTAGGCTAATAAATAATATATTGGAGTTTTATGGACAATTCCATTTAATATCTGCAACCTTTATGTGCGCCAGATCTTTTCATCAGACAACGATGAACCTCAAAAAGGCTCTGCGTCTCTACAACCTTCTCATGATGAGGCGTGGTGAAGTCTTACGAGACTACATTTCTCAGTTCACCTCTACCTGTGGAGCTCTGGATAAGGCCCTCAAAAGGAAGAAGACCATCCAGGTTGCTGGGGGCACCACAGGGGCCGTAGGAGGGGTCACTGCAGTGGTGGGCCTGGCTCTGGCTCCAGTCACTTTTGGGGCCTCTCTTATTGCCACAGCAGTAGGTGCTGGTATGGTGGCCTCTGCCGGCGGAGTATCTGCTCATGTTGCCAAGACAAAAAAGAAGGTCATCACAAGAGATGGAGTCGAGAGACTTGTACATGACTACATAGACAAAGTAAAGGACGCTGAGAACTGCTTGAACTTCATCCTCTCTGGTATGAACGAGGTGCGGCGGTATGATGTGGCTCGGTTACAGCGGGCAGGAGCCCAGATAGATTCTCTCAAGATTGCACAACTGACTCAGTCAGTGTTTAATAACATGGACACTGTGAGGAGGAACCCACAAACTCAGACAGGTGGAATGTCATCACAAAGACTGCTTCAGGCCTTTGAAAAAGAAATGGATTATTATTTTACAGAAAAAGAAGGACAGAAGCTGAAAAAGTCAAGGAAGAGCAGGTTTTCGGGTCGAGTGCGTTTACTTGCAGGAAATCTTCAAGATGAATTGGATTACTTATGTCATATGTGGGAACTGTTTAACTGAGAAATAAGATCAGAAAATATAGACATTATTGATCTCACACAGGAGAAATGTACATGTCACATCCGGCATGGAGAGAAACACTGAAGATTGTGCAAAAGAATGAAATGTGCAAACATGTTAAATGCAGGATAAACTATGTACAATAAAAAGTGGCAATCCAAAGTGGCAATGAAGAAACAGTGTCAACAGTAGTGCAGGTTTTTCAGTCCTAGTGCAAGTGACTTAAAGTTACTTATTGTACAGTCTGACAGCGGTGGGTATAAAGGCCCTGCGGTAGCGGCGCGCTCCTTCTTGCACTGAGGGTGCCTCAGTCTTCCACTGAGAGAGCTCCTCAGCTCCTCTACAGTCCTGTGCAGGGCCGGAGTGGGACAATTTTTTGGCCCGGGAATTCTGGGTCAGACCGGCCCTTCTGATAAAGTAGTCTATCAAAAAAAAAAACTGAACTGCCTGCTGTTGTAATATCCATAACAACCAGCAGGTGGCCTGAAATCAAGTTTTGTAAATTACAAGACTAATGGTATTAAAATTATTCTTCGTTCACAAAACTGAACTGCCTGCTGTTGTAATATCCATAACAACCAGCAGGTGGCCTGAAATCAAGTTTTGTAAATTACAAGACTAATGGTATTAAAATTATTCTTCGTTCACTCCTTTAGACTTCTCAGTGCTAGTCACAAAATAACTCAATAATGCATTTGAATAAATCATGATATTTGAATATTCTGGTATCACAATATGAATTGTAGCAAATTTTAGACTGACCCTAGACTTATGTGGATATAAAAAGCATGAATTTCACACATTTTAGAACAATGTGAATTTTCATTCAAATAATTGTCATTCACAAAGATTTGGCTATATTTTTTTAATAATACATTGAATTGACTCGAAACCATTAAACTATCATCCTCCTTTCAAGACTAAACAAAAACAAAGACTAATGCAAATACAACACTAAGACAAAACAGTGCTTGCTACAACTTTATACAAAACCAAAATTAATCTTAACGTACTTGAATGTTGTCCCAGGGAAGAACTAAAAGCAAACTAAATGTTAACCTCTATCAAGACGAGAAAACGCAAACTGCACACTATTTAAATCAATCAAACCCAAATTAACAATAGCAAAATGAAGCACATTAAAACATGAGTAAACTCTGTAGAAGTGCACTTGTTTATGCAACTTTGTTTATGATAATTGTCATTATCCAATGACAAAGGATGTCTTTTCTGTAGATATGAGCATAAACGCTTCACATCTTTTGACAAACACACAAAATATTCAACTGTTACTTTCCTAATGTACAAAGAAGTAAAAAATGTAATTTATGCAATATACATTATACATTATGAAATAAATAAATTCATGGCCTTAGTGGCTTAGTCAAATTTGATTAAAAATACAATCTTTTTGGTTTTTACCTGCCCATTCCTGAGGCTCTTCATTAATATGAATGAACGATTGTTGTATCTGAGGACCCAAGAAGCAATAAATGTAATGACGGAGTGCTAATCATTTAGGGAATCACGTCGTCATGTTTTGCCACAGTGTTTTGCATGTTTTTTTTGCTAGCTTACCGCGGTCTGATGCCTCTTCATCGGCGGAGCACTTTTTATAGAAAAAAACTACCAACTTTGCACATTTGGCTGCTACAGCTTCAAGAGCTTTCCTTTTTTTTATTCTAATCTTTTCTGCTCAGCCCTTGATTTTGTTCCTTTCCATTTTAAAAACACTCGTGTTGGACAGATGTCATGTCTGTGAGAAACGGCGCTTGCTTCAGTTCTATCTGTCATTCAACCTGATCTATGGCCCGCGCTCTCGGTTAATCCCGCCTACAATCTACAGACAACCAATCAGGCCGTTGCAGAACACATCGTAACCAATGAAAGCGGCCAAATGAGACTAGCCAGAAGTGTGTGTGCTGTTTACTCGTGTGTGTGTGTGGGTGAGAGAGAGATAGGCCCAGTCCCAATACCCACACTGCACCCTACGCCCTCCTATGAAGTGTGCATTTGTTTGAAGTGCGCGCAAGGGTTTGAGTGCGCAGGTTGCAAGCGTGCACAAAAGGTGGAATTGGGACATTGCACACTGAGTGCAGTTTACGTCATCGACTCGTCAAGAGATGGTCATTTTCAGACCTAAACTTTATAAAAATTAAAGGTAATTTTGTCTGACCCTTTGGGAAACAATATGAATTGCTTCACACACGTTATAATACATTTATATTAGTTGTTTTTAATTAGAGATAGCTGTATAATTTTAAGTTAAATGTGGGTAACTAACTATCTGGTCAGTTTTTATACATTCTAAGATTATTGTACTAAGTGTAAAGTTTAAATTGAATGTTATATAAACGCTTGCTTTAAAAAGTTATTAAATTGTTAAAGCACAATGTCCGTAATTCTTCATCAGACGTTTATGCTTCTTTCCAAGTAACATAGCAAAACTTATTTACACACATACTGCATATATATTTCACAATTTATATTTAATTGCATTTTCCCGTCGTTTTGGTGTGTACCGCAAAGAATTATGGGCAATATCCTTCGCCAGAGTGCGCATAGATGCAGGCTACGGCGAAGTGTGGATCAGGGGCGCAAAGGGGGCGGGGCCAAATACCTCCCTGGAGAATTGGGACACCCTACGCACTCGCACCCTTTATCGGGAACGCGCAAATGAGGGGCGCGAGGGTGGAAGTGCGAGTATTGGGACGGGGCCAGAGAGAGAGAGAGAGAGAGGCAGTGCGCACGGGCGAGCGACAGGTCCGAGAAGGCTGCGGTGAACAGCGGTGTCAGGAAAGCACGGCCGCCGGCCAAGTCTGAACTAGCAACATACAACATCCAGCCCACCGGCCCTTAGCCCAACCGGCCCACCGGGAAACCTCCCGGCTCTCCCGATTAGCCACGCCGGCACTGGTCCTGTGCAGTGGGTGGGAGGTGTTGTCCATGATGGAGGTGACTTTGACTAGCACCCTCCTGTCCCTCACCTCCTCCACAGAGTCCAGGGGGCAGCCCAGAGTGGAGCTGGCCCTCCTGACCGCTTGTTCAGTCTACTCCTGTCCCGCTCTGTGCTGCCCGGGGCCCAGCACACAGTAGCGTAGTATATGGCAGAGGCTACCACAGAGTCTTAAAAAGTCCTGAGCAAAGGCCTGCTCACTCCGAAGGACCTCGTCCTCAGCCTCCTCAGAAGTAAGAGGCGACTTTCTTTTTTGTACAGAAATGTGTGCAACATTGAAATCTGTTTTCATGTTTTATAACAAATTGTATTTTGAACATATTTCAAACAAAAAGATATTTCTAATGTTCTTGTGTTGCAATTATTCTGTTGTCTGACTGTGGCATATCTTTGAGTGGGACTACTTTAGTGGGTGGAGTCGGGACTGTCGCGGATGGATACGGGCGGAGAGCACGCTCCAAGTAAAATACACACGCTCGTCTCACTCTGCGCCATTTTCCTGCGGAACAACAACAAACTGAGTTTGGACACAGTCCTGCGCCGACATGGCAAAGTAAAGTGTGCAGCGAGCCAGCAGCCAAAACTACAGTGCATCACGCAAGTGCACTGAAGTCCTCTTCTAATTCAGCAACATGTCGTAAGTGTTTAACTATTCTTCTTATTCCCACGTACTCACGCTGTCAGGCGTCACAGGCCGCACCGGTTACAGCACTTATTCGCTGATAATTTGAGGATGAGAGAAACTGATCATAATGCGAGTACATTGTTGATGGCGATTATAAGTCTTTCCTGATGGCTAACTCTATTGATGGCGTCATGTGAAATTCAAGACTTGGTCTTTAAAGAAACGTGTTTTGTGTGTTTAGACATATCTTTATCTACTGAACCACAACGTTCTTTGTTTTACCTCATAATCACAATTTAATTTGCTTCAAATGTCAACGTGGCATTCAAGGTGGTTTCCTCCTTTGTGTTAAAATGGCGGCTAGTTGTAGGCGGATTTGGACAAGTATGGTAGTGTTGTCAATGTGGGGGAGGGTGGCCTATTTGGAGAAGTGACGTCAGAGTCTGAGCATGTGACTTGAGCAGGTGCATTGCAGTGATGGGGGCAGTATTGTGCTCAAAATGCCCTGGATCATATTTTTTTTCACCATGTTATTGTTTTTATTTTCAGGTCCTTTAAGGAAACCCTCAGCACTGCTGCTTCTGCCAGCACAAAAGAGTTTGACACTTCCCTACTATTGTCACACACTCCCTTTGTGACCAACAACAGCCACTATGACCACGATGATGACAAGCTCACAGTTTGGCCTGGAAGACATGGAGGCCCTTCTCTGGGGACCTTCCTTTCCCATGGCTGACCCCATGGACTCACTCTTTGTCCACCCTGACCAAGAAGAACATCGTGGAGAAAATTCATTTGAGCGGAGCGCCTCACCCGCGTCTCTCCTCAATTCATCTTTGTCCTCCTCTTCCTCGCCCCCTCCTTTCTATTCACCTCCCTCTTCGCCTCCTGCCAACAAACTTCATTGGGACAAACCTGGGTCTGAGTCGGACCTGCTCTCCATTTCCTGGTTGGACCATTCTGGTCAACTGAAAGGTCATGCCGTCTCAGATGACGCTAAAGGTAACAGTTGCATATTAGGGTCTGAAGTACACACAACATTGATTGGCTCTAACACTTATTTTCTCTCTTTTGTAGGAAACGTATTTGGAGACCTTGACTGGATGGATGAGAGGGAATTTGACTTTGACTCTCTCATTGGGTCCTGCAGTCCTTCTGAAGACTCTCCGAGCTCTCCAGAGGATCTGCTCGCCTCTCTTGATTGCTCCATGGAGTTTGACTCCTACCCTGTGACCACATTCTCATCTCCAGTGTATACCGTTCTTCCCTCTGCTTCGCCCCCAGAAAAGCCTCCATCTGTACATTCTACTATTAGTGTAGACACCACTGCTGTTCCCATCTCTCACATCCCGCAACCTGCCTCCCCGATTGGCAGTCAAGAGGTTCCCACCTCTCCCCCATGTGTTCCAGAGCCCCAACAAGAGCTTGAGATTAAATCTGAGCCTGCTTCTCCTGCTCCTTTGTCCCCTGCCTACACTCTGGATTTGGGCAGTGAGGTAGATGTCCCTGAGAGTGAAGTGGAAGTGTTGGAGGTGAAGCCGTTAGTCGCCTCAGTCATCCCCCAGATCCCCAGGTTTGTTGTGTCTCTTTCCCCCACCCGTATTGTTGTTGTGCTGGCCCCCAGAGAGGAGCTTGGCATCAGCACCACCACTGTATCCACCACCACCACCACAGAGGGCCCAGAATCCCCGCCTCAGACCCGGGCACCTCGCAGCAGGCCCTATCCTGAGCCCAAATACAAGGCATGTTCATCTCCCTCCACAAGCACCAATGTTAAGGTCAAGTCCTCCCAGTGCGTAGTGGAGGAAAGGGTCCAACTTAAAGCACCAAGAGATAAGAAACTCAAGAAGATGGAGCAGAATAAGACTGCAGCCACTCGGTACAGGCAGAAGAAGAGAGTGGAGCAGGACTTTCTGTTGGAAGAACATGCCATACTGGAGAGAAAGAACGTGGAGCTGACTGAGAAGGCTGAGTCCATGGCCAGAGAGATCCAGTATCTGAAAGAGCTGATGGAGGAAGTGCGGCTGACCAGGATAAAGAAGGGGCTTAGTGCTGACCCCTAGTGTTCAGACACCATGAGAGAATATAGTAAAGGTTTCAGTGGAATGGTGAGAATGTGAGCTCAACTATTGCTTTTTTGTATTCAGCATGCGTTTGAGACTTAACCCATGACTTGCATGTTAAAAGATTCTCCTCAATATTAAACTTGGTATTAAAATTGTATTCATAGAGTAGTTTTGTGGAAAGGGTGTTTTCCAAAAAGTATGGATTTGTTACATTGATGTATTCTCCGGACCTTTTTAAGTATGTCTTGTAATATTTTAAACTGAATTGTTGGTAGGCCTATGAATTAATCTCCTAATAAAGAATATTAATGGAAAGAACTTGTTTATTTTTCTGCTCAAAAATAAAACAAGCATAAAATTACAATGTCAACATAATGAGTGAACTTTTTAGATAGGGAAGGCTTCCCTAACAATTGGTAATAACCTGGGGCCGTATTCCTAAAGATTCTTACTGCTAAAAGTTGCTCCTAGTGGCCAAATTCTAAGAATTTTCTTAGAATCTTGACCAACTCTTAGAATTTCCCCTAAAAGTGAGGAGTAGCTCCTAGTTAAGATAAAAGCTATTCCTAAAAAATCCTAGCTCTTAAGAGTGCTCTTAAGGGGAGATCCCTTAAGAGTTGAGAGGAGGACTTTTAGCGACTTAAAAGTTCCCTAAGAGCACAAAATGGTGGACGGTGGAGACAGGAGAAATATTCTATACACTGGATGACAGTGAATCAGTGAAACGCTACAGATTCAAGCAGGAATCATGTTTGTGGTATATTTAAAAGTCAATCATGTGACCAGCTTCTTATTGGCTGGTCAGCAATAACACCTCATCCATTTTACCTTTGTTACACAAAAGTAAGTAGAAATGGTAAAAGTTGAAAGAGAGGTAAATTGGTGCTGAGCAAGCTCTGATGATGTGGTGTATAAGTCTAACTTTACTATTCACAGTATTTATGTACCATTGATATATCTGACTTTATAGCTTTTGGTTATTATTTACAATAACACAGTGTTCCTAAAATTAGATTCCATGATTGAGTTTGTCCATTTTAGGGCCCTTATTTTGCCTATTATCATCAAAAATATGTTTTTTCTAACTTTTAGGATCAACCAATCACAGCGTCTGAAATGATGACTCATACCTAGCAACGGGGTCGGCCATGCCTCCTCACTAAGATAAAAGTTGTTGTCAATTCCTTGCTCAGAGTTCTCTAAGAGTGTTCTGGAATAACTTTTAAGCTAAGACTCCTAGCTAGGAGTTTTTAGGTTAAGATAAGAGCTCTCTGAGAGGACTCTCAGAATCTTTAGGAATACGGCCCCTGGGGCCGTATTCCTAAAGATTCTTACTGCTAAAAGTTGCTCCTAGTGGCCAAATTCTAAGAATTTTCTTAGAATCTTGACCAACTCTTAGAATTTCCCCTAAAAGTGAGGAGTAGCTCCTAGTTAAGATAAAAGCTATTCCTAAAAAATCCTAGCTCTTAAGAGTGCTCTTAAGGGGAGATCCCTTAAGAGTTGAGAGGAGGACTTTTAGCGACTTAAAAGTTCCCTAAGAGCACAAAATGGTGGACGGTGGAGACAGGAGAAATATTCTATACACTGGATGACAGTGAATCAGTGAAACGCTACAGATTCAAGCAGGAATCATGTTTGTGGTATATTTAAAAGTCAATCATGTGACCAGCTTCTCATTGGCTGGTCAGCAATAACACCTCATCCATTTTACCTTTGTTACACAAAAGTAAGTAGAAATGGTAAAAGTTGAAAGAGAGGAAAAAGTGGTCCTAAATTGTCACACTTTCAGTACGAATGAATGAATACTTTATTTTGAGCCATGGCAAACAAGAAAAAAAAGGACAAAACAAACAAAACAACAACAGAATAGAAGTACAAATATACAGTTTTGTTTTATTAACAACAATCCAGCTCAAAAAGGAGTGGGAGAGGATAAGACTTTTAAGCTCCCTTGTACTTGATTTGTACAGTGTATGTATAATATGTTTATATTAATATTGTTTCCTTAATTCCTTATAAGTCTATACATATCACAGCCTTTACTAATCCTAACGTTATCATTATCATCATTTATCCATATAATATTTATAATAATAATTTTCTTTATCATGTATATTATATATAGAGTAATATTTAAATTATATGTATATATATATATATATATATATATATATATATATATATATATATATATATATATATATATATATATATATAAAATTATAAGTGCTCATGATATATACGTATTATGTGTGATAAATTGGTGCTGAGCAAGCTCTGATGATGGTGTATAAGTCTAACTTTACTATTCACAGTATTTATGTACCATTGATATATCTGACTTTATAGCTTTTGGTTATTATTTACAATAACACAGTGTTCCTAAGATTAGATTCCATGATTGAGTTTGTCCATTTTAGGGCCCTTATTTTGCCTATTATCATCAAAAATATGTTTGTTCTAACTTTTAGGATCAACCAATCACAGCGTCTGAAATGATGACTCATACCTACCAACGGGGTCGGCCACGCCTCCTCACTAAGATAAAAGTTGTTGTCAATTCCTTGCTCAGAGTTCTCTAAGAGTGTTCTGGAATAACTTTTAAGCTAAGACTCCTAGCTAGGAGTTTTTAGGTTAAGATAAGAGCTCTCTGAGAGGACTCTCAGAATCTTTAGGAATACGGCCCCTGAGCTTAAGTCTCATTTAGTGTGTGTGTGTTATTTGACCAATTTAAAGCAGCTGCTGCACAAAGAATACTACAAAATCTATCCATATTCTTTATTGTAGATTAGGCTGAACAGTATTTATGACCACAGTACATCATTTGGACTACAGTGGTAGAGCTTACAGTGTGAAATGCTTGCTACAATGTAACAATTACACTGTTAATCTACTGCAAAAACATGTAAGGGCTGATGCGCCTTCAGATGAAAGTCATGCTCGACACACCAGGAAAGTGCTGTTGTCAGCCACTAGATGGCGCACAGTATATGCTACTATTCTCTATAAAACAAATACATCTGCTTAACTGCTTGGCAGTGGTGTTGGATATTTACGGTCAACCATTAAAAACACTCACTTTCCACTCGGAGGTGTATTTTTTTGCTATTGGAGTTTCACAGATGTGTATGAGCTGGGAGAGTAAGGAATGAGGTTTGTGTCTCGGCACTCTTTTCACTGCATGCGATGGACAAACATGCCTGTGGAGATGTATCCATGTTTTGTCATACAACAGTGTCTGGCAAAGTTCTCCAGTGAACTTGGATGGCTAATGAGGTTTTATCTTGTTTCTGCAGCACGCTAAAGCTTGATGTCGCTGAGAGAAGTTGTACACTTTTGATGCTGAGGCACATTGCTGAATCTATTGTCAATAAATGTAATGAAAGCATGAGCACAAGAGCAGCAGAGCGTGTCCAGCCCAATGCGCAGGGTTAGGGTGAGGCTGACACTCTCACACAGCCTTTTTCACATGGTCCTCCTTAAGGAGAGCATACATTATTTGAGAAGTTGATTAAAACACCAAAGATGTTTGAACAGTTTTAAGGTGTAAAAAGTTGATACCAACCAAAGTGCAAATAAGCTTCTGCGTCAATGTAAAGCTGGTTCACTCACAGTAACTTGCATCTGCAGTTTTCCTCTCAGCACTACTCAGCATTTGTTGTAAGTGTGCCAGATTTTGCCCGAGAGGAATCAATTCAGCCCCTGCCGACTCCCTGAGCAGCGGATCATTAAAAGTTAGCAGAAGGTAAATTCTGGATATCGCTGATGATGTCCTATGTTCTGTGTGATGACGTCAGTTTGAAATCAAAACATGAGTGCAAATAGATTACTTTCTTAAATATTCTAAAACACTAAAGAACCCACAAATCTAATCTGGTTTATAAACACGCTCACTCATAGCCTTTTGCTTTGAAGCTTACTCAAAAATATGAACGAAGAGATATACTTGCAAAATATACAGTTCACTAACCACAAAGCTAATGGTACAAGATGTATAAATACCAAGAAATACAAACTTACTGCACCACAACTACCTTAGCTCAAACACTATGGGACTGTTCACTTGGGAGTAGAAAGCCTGTCCGCATGTTACGGTGATGAGTGGTTGTTTACTCTGCAGTGTTGAAACAGGGTCTCTATAGCAGCACTTTTGGACATGCTCGTGAACAGGGGCGTGGCTCAGCTCCCTCCAGCAGATGTGCACCCTTCTACAGATTCTTTTATGTGCACTTTCATATCCCTGGTTCAGCTTTATTTCAGTAAACGGTGGTTTTGGTTTTTGGACATTGCGGTCAAAGTCTTATATAGGCCAATGTCTGTTTTGCTCATTGTAAAATAGATGTGGTTTACATGAGGTGATATCATTAGTGAACATGTCTTTTCAGACCAATGAGTCACTGGAGCTGGCACCCTCTGCAGTCGTCCTCTGGCTCGGTGTTGTCCGACGAGTAGGAGCTCTCCTCGCTCACTGTCAAAGACAAAACAATGATATTAAAGGCTGTGATGTCACGCTGATGATGACACATGGAGAGCCACAGATGTACCTAGATGGCATACCTAACCTATTTTGTTAGAATAATAATAATAATAATAAATAAATGTTGTTCGTCCCAACTGAAATAATCTTGTTTATGTGAGGGTTGGTCCTCTATTTTTCACTTAAAATGTTGTTGTAAACATGTGTTTTATACATGCATCTGAAAACTAGTGAGAGCTATATAAACTAGTTATATGGAACTTTACACACACAAAAAACAATTGTAAAGTGCTTTGTGACTCTGGTCTGTGAGAGGCACTAAAGATTACTTACCTGCGGACTACATAGTTACTGTACATTTTTGTGGTTTCAAAGTTAGGTACTCCAGTTTAGAGGATTTGGGAAATAGGCACCACTATTCAAATATACAGAAATAATATAATGAAAAAGTCTGGTCCATTATATTTTAGAAAATAAAAAAAAAGAACAAGGAATAAAAGCTTGACATTTTTCCCTCTATGTCTAATGATGATTTTATACATTCACTTTCTGAACTGACTGACTGACTATCTTGTTGAATATTCATATACAGTAGTCACTAATAATAAGTCTATACTTATGAAAAAAACAAAACTCATCTTAGATCATAGAACAAGGCCATGTGGTATATTGCATTATATAAAATAAACTATAGTACTATTTTCTTATTATTTGGTCGGAAAGAATACAAATAGCAGCTCTGATGACTTACGCCACTCTGTCTGGATGGGGAGAAAGGCCTTGTCTCCATTCTCTCTGATCATCTCCTCGATTCGATCCAGTAGCATGGCCACACTCCGGTCCTTGCCTGGTGTCTTACTGTCCAGCACATGGTAGTAGTTGCCACAGTACTCCAGGAGGCGCTGCAGCTCCCGGCCTCCTCGCAGGATGTGCTCTTCTATAGGCGTGCATCCCAGCCAGTCCCCACAGCTGAACAGTACCATGGTGTGGAGGCAGGCCCCTTCCCCAAACAGAGTGTCTATGTGTGACAGCAGGGTGCGCCTCTTCCGGGCCGTGAGGGATGAGACTACGGGCAGCACCAGCAGCAGCGTGTGAGGCCCGGGTCGCAGCAGGGCTGCCCCACGCTGGGACTCTTGACGTATCCGTTTGGGGGTACGCCTCACAGAGAACCAGTCCCACCCTGGGGTGTCTACGATAGTCACGCGCCGTCCGAACACAAGGGCCTGTCTGCGGAGGCACAACTCGGTCTCCTGTCCCGACTCAAAGTACCGCCTGCCCAGGATGGAGTTCCCCACTGAGCTCTTCCCCACTCCTTTCCAGCCCAACAGCAGCAGCCTCAGCTCTGCACAGCGGAAGAGACGGAGGGAAACGTAAATATACAATGATAGGGAATTGAAACACATTCATAGATCAGAATCTGTAGATCTGGTCAGAGGAAAAGAATCTTAATCCTTACATAGACTCAAAGAAGCTTTACATTCACTACTATAGCCAAAGTTGACCAAGGATTGAAAGACAGAAGCTGTCAATCAGTGCCATTGGCCCCTCCAACCACCACCGTAAGAGTGGTCTGTGTCCCTGGTTTTCGCTGGGTTAGTGTCTCCCAAAACAGTACAAACAGACCAAGATTTGGCAATGTTCAAATCTTCAATTCTGCTCATGGCTAATTACATCTTCATATGACATGATCTCATTGCAATTCTATTTGATTTTATTTGATTATGTTTTGTGCAAAATGTGCCAAACTAAAATAGATGAACAAATGTTTAAATAAATAAATAAACAAACCTGCTAACAAAGTGAAGTGTGTCTTTGAACAGATACTGCCAGTCAACATCATATAAATGATATAACCTTACGTCATTGCAGTTGCAGACCAATCTTTGGTCTCTTTGATTGGGCTCCACTTCTGATTTGTCACAATAATGTATGTGAAATGGAAGCAGGCTGTTCTTCTGAGTGTGTAATATAATAAGGCCGTTTCCATAGAGTTGTTCTGTTGGCAGCTGCGTGACTGCATGACTCACAACCCCCTGGCCCGCCTACCTCGAGGTGGTCCTCCAATCATCTGCTCCCTCTGCCGAGCGTGCTCCTCCATCCTCATCCTCTCCTCCTCCAGAGCTCTCCTGGCCTGCTCTTCTTCCAACAAAATCAATTCGTTCACTTCAAAGTACCACCCTGCACCAAGAGAAATCGATGACAGTCAACATACACAGAATGAATCTCAGTCAAATTACTTTTGGTTACCTTGGTTGTCTGTGACCATCTCCTCCACTTTCTCCATCAGCTCTGGCACTTGTGTGTTGTCCTCGGTGTTCTTACGCATGTTATCAAAAGCATGATACCTACACAATATAATAGTAAACTCAAATATGTAACATCATATATCAAAATAACAACAATTTGTTTCATTCATTGTATTTAAATTCCAGCGTTGTTTGTAAAAAAATGCAATATAATGCAATATTTAAGCCCACAATTCTGGTACATCTGTGTCAAGTTAGCATCGTATCGACTAACTAGGACTGAGGAGCACAGGAACTGGCCTCCTGCTGGTGCCCAGAGTCAGGACTTAACATGGGGAGGCAGCATTTCATATTTATGCAGCTAGCATTCAGTCTTCTTGAATATGTGAGACAGACTTCTTCTCTGACAATGTTCAAATCCATTTTAAAACCGCATACTGTTCATACAGCAGTATCTTCACTCTTTTTAACGTACTATAATCACAGTACATTGTATGATTGTTTCTATCTATTTTTGTTAAGCACTTTTAGTTGTGTATGAACTGTGCTATACAAATAAACTTGCCTTGCCTTGTATTGATCCACTTTGTAAAGCACTAGAGTAGAGAGTAAGATACTAGAGAAACAGTAGCATCTGGTGATAAAGTCATAAAGAAATCGCAATAATCGCCTTATAATTCAGTATTTGCATACATCGTAATCGTATTGTATCGGGACCATAGTGAATCATATACAAGGAAAGGCACCAGCCTGGTGCAAATCTGACTTTCTGTCTTGTTTCTTTGCTTTCTCTCTGATCCAACATCTGTTTAACAAATGGAACTGTAGTGAAAAAACAAATAAAAGGGACATCTGGATGTGAAGCTCCAATATGTAGGTTTTAGAAGAAAATAATGTTGGTTGTATTCACGGCACTGAAAAACAGATTGCACTGTCTGTTGATGTGTGGCAATATCTTTGGCTATAACGGTCTATCAAGAAAGTAAACATTTACAATGTGTCTATTCCGATAATAAAGTGTGGTTTTATTTCTTTTTTCTGTGGATTCATGCAGATGAGATCCTCTTTCTACCACAAGTTTTTCCTTACCGATGAAGGAGGGTCTAAGGATAGTGATGATGATCCAGGACACTCGACATTTAACAATATTGAAGGACATTTGTCATCGGCCCCTTATGGACCAATGGATCTGCGTGATTCATTTTGATTCTCTGATCTGTGTTGATAATTACTGCTGTGATTGATGCTTGAATATTGAATGGTATTTGTTGCTTTATTGGAAAGTGTTGCTCACCTGCTCCCACATCTCTCCACCAGCCACTGCAGGGCCTCTCCAGTGTTGGCTATATGCTCCTCTATGAAGACCCCCTTCGGCAGCTTGTCCACACAGGTAAAAACCACCATGGAATAGCGCCACGTTCCACCTCCCAGAGCCCCCAGTTGGTCCTCCGCAGCCCTCCGATGCAAATCTGTGAAAGGCTGGGCCACTGACACTACCAGCAGGATGGCATGGGGCCCCGGCGGGCACAGGATGGCCCCCATACTTGGCCCCTCGCTGTCCAGGCTGGGCGGGGGTCTCCTGGGGCTGTCCGACTCAGCACCTGCGTTATCATTTTCGTCCGTCTCAGTGTCCTCCTCTTCTTCCTCCTCCACTTCTCTGGGAATGGCCCAAGCAGGAGTGTCCACCACAGTGACCCGTCGGCCGTAGATCTCTGTCTGGCCCACGTTGCTGTGTGTGGTCTCCACCCCAGCGTCGAAGGCCTCCTCCCCTAAGATAGAGTTGGCAGTGGTGGTTTTTCCCGACCGAGGGCCCCCGAGAATCAGCAGTCTACGCTCAGGTGGATGCCGCCCTCGGGATTCTATAATTAGAGCAATTAATAGTCTAAAGGGATCTATAGGGGTGCATGGAATACACATGTACCTCAACATACTATAGTTCAATTCATGCAGTGAATCATGTCTAACATAATGCTTGTCCTATTTTGCTTCGTATGAGCAAATATTTATGCCACTGAAACATGCAGTTTCTATGCACAGACCTGAGGCTTAGGTGGATGGAAGAATCTTAGGTGAAAAAGTAAGATAATTAGATCTTTAAAAGGTTAGGGATTAATGAAAATAAATGTGTTGAATTGCAAAGCCAAAGCACGGAGGATTCTCACTTTTCTCCCACTGGGTTTTAGAGTTTTTCCTTGCCGATGCAGGAGGGTCTGTGAGACTGTTAGTGCTCTAACAAGAACGACTGTGATGATGATCCAAGACACTCTAACATTCTACAACATTTATGGACATTTATCAACTTTCATGGACATCGGTCAAACTCCCCATGGACCTATATCTATGTGTTCTATATTTTTTGTGTTTGAACTGTTTAATTCTCCAATCTGTGTTGACGACAACGGTTTTGTTTTGTTTGTCTGAGATAACTACTGTTGTGATTTAGGGCTATACAAGAATAAATTGAATTGAAGTGTCTTAAAATAATATGACATAATAATTCAACATGGGGAGGAGCAGGAAGTTTTATTGATTTCTTCAGCTCGCTAAAGTTGCTGACACTTGTCCATGTGAGCGGCCACACAGGAAGTAGACCCCAGCAGCAACAGTTAGAGCTGAGCCCTGGATCCTACTCCACCGCATGGATGGTGAGGATGGAAGACCTGCGGTAGGCAAAGCAACAGAGCAACAACAGCCACTCACCAGTGTCAGAAGCAGAGGACACAGCAGCCATCTTGTGTGTCGAACCTCTGGCTTCATCCTCCTCGGCCCCCCTCCTCCGTCTCCTTCTAGGCTCCACTGTGGCGTGCTCGTGTGCTGTGCCTCTTCAGAAAGGAGAGAGCGAGGATGCGGAGGGGAGCGGGGATAGATGGCAGCTCATGTGCGATTTGGCCCAGGTTGTGGCTCTCATTCTACTGCAGTATACATCCGTCTGTGTTCCCTCTCCTGCGCCCCTTTCTCTCCTCATTCCACTGCCACTCAACCTCTCTCCCTCTGCGCTCCAGCCCACACACCTCCTCAGCAGCTACAGCTGTCCATAGAAAGTCTTCACCTCCTCTTCTCCCAGTCCTTCAATGTTGTCTATATCATCTCTGTAGGTGATGACAGCAAGGCAAATCAGCCTGTGAAAATACTTTTTTATGAAGAAAAATGTCCAGCTGACTCACTTGAGTGTTGTAGCAGCTCCAGCAGCAGCTGCCCCAGCAGCAGTGTGGCACTGTATCCAGACTGCAGTAAGGACAGAAGGATGGATAGACAGAGAGGGAGGAGAGAGAGGGCACAGTGCTCTGTTTACAGCGGAATATATTCCCCAGCTGCAGAGCCATGCACTACATGCTCACTCTACGGCACTACATACTCCCCATGTATCGTCTGCAGACAGGAAATGTAAAAATGGCAGTCTAAAACAGTAACTGTGTGGATAACCCAGGACATATATTACACAAATTAAATGTTTCAAAGGGAGTTCATTATACAAAAGGATACACGTTCCTGAAGAATGTTAACAAGGATAACGAGGCTGAAGGCTACAGATAATTACAATTCGATTACATCTCGACAAGTTATATGTAATTCTAGAAATGGTAAAAACATTTTTTCCCCTATAACTTCGGCATAAATTTTAATCTAATAACGGAATATATGGTGATAAATACAAAGTTCCGCGCAAAACCAATATTGTTAAAGCATTACATAACACAGCTGTCGTGCACAGTTGCAAGTGTCGTAAGAAATCTCATGCCGTAAAGTAGCTCGGAGTGACGTAAAACTGCTCCATGTGAATTTAAGCCAAAGTAACACATCTCCCCTGCTCCTGCAGCTGCTGAGTGTCTCCCAGTGTGTCCCAGTGTCTCCCAGTGTCTCCTGTAGAAGACAGAAGACGACCATCTCACAAACATGGAAGACGATTTTACGAAGTATCGTTCCCCGCTCGTTTCAAGATATGCAAGCAAAGAAATGGCCTACAACTTCAGTGACAGGAAGAAATTCACTACGTGGAGAAAGCTCTGGATCTGCCTGGCTAAAGCAGAGAAGGTTTGGCACCAACTCGTGTAGTTATTATTTTACATTTCAACTTATTTGACATTTTCTTACAGTTTCTGACCTTGAGGAATGATATCAAGTTCCTACTCTCTAAATATAGTTTTTAGCAGGACCCCTGTCACCCCAGTGCTATGTGCGATTGTGCATAGTTGTCAGGTCATAACATAGTAATATCCCAAAGTGCGCCTACATATGATATTGAGTTTAAACATTGAAAGAACAACATACACTAACTGTGCAAATATGTACAATAACATTGCAGTATCAAAAGTAGTGCTGAGTGAACTGCCCAGAGCCAGAACCAATGAGCCGAAAAGTAATGCACTGCAATGCAGTTGTGGAATTCGATTGCCATTAATCCTTAATCTAATCAGTTTTAAAAGGTATCTGAAACATTATATGGAAATATCAACAATGCAACTTAAACTTTTTTCTTGTAATAACTGATTTCCCTGTACTTCTTTCTTTACTGTGTTTTTACATGTAAATCAAACTGTTAAAATAGCAACAGGTTTGCTATAATGTATTGTGGTATTCACCTCCTTTTGTTTAGTTTCCTTTTTTACGGAAACCTATCGGTCCAAAACAGAAGCCATATGGAAAAAATTATGTCAGAGGCCAATCATATAATTAAACGATAACAAATGTCTTCAAATATACCAAATCCGATCCTTAACAAAATTCAGTCCATCTTGTCCATCTGCAACCACCCTTGAGGTTGAAGTTTGAAGTCCTCCTTTCTCAGAGAAGATATTGGTTTTATAGTTTTAAATGTTTATTTGTTTATCTGTGCGGTTAATCTGCTGAACAGACATTTTTAAAGATTTACACATGTTTCTTCTTGATTAAGCTGTACCTGATATGTGCCATACACACTGTAGTTATTGAATTGTATTTTGTTGTAGTATTTATTCTACTGCTCCACCACATGCAAACAATTTTCCCCTTGGGGACAATTACGTGTTGAGTTGAGATTATATACTTTTAAAATCACTCTTTATGTTGATGAAAGAGTTTTTTTTCTTCTAAATAAATAATCACATGTAATCACATCATTATTATTGTGTCCACAAATATTGCAAAATGTTCACTTGCATGGATCAGCAACAGAAATCTATAGTATATTTTATCAGAGTGAAGTAATGATTGTCACACTGAAACTGTTTACCTTAAAGCAGATAAACCGAAGCCACCCGCCTCACACTGCGCTCACATGATCCCACTACATTTGACCCAATCAGCCTCATTATCTCATGTTTGTAACAGCACTCTCTATTTGGATCAGTGGCTGTTACCGTGAGGTTTGTGTGAGAAAATAGCATCCAGGAAATGTCACAGTAATGAGAGACGAGTCCCCAGTATGGGCCACGTCCATGTGCGCTGCAGACTTTGTTTTAACTCCTATCTTTTGTTTGACGTTTGACATTCCACTGTTTTGCATCATATGATCTTTTAACTGTTTTGTAAGTGGGACAGAGGAGCTTTCAGAATGTCACATGACGTCCCCTTCCCAATGGAGCTAATGGTTTCCTCATGGGATTTGCACAAAGGCCAAAGATGGAGCTGCAAATGCTTCAGTTTGGACTTGTCACCGTGAAGAGATGGATATTGTGCTAAAACACCTTTTGTAGATATGCAAACATTTTATCCGAATCCGAGATGGAACAGGGCCTTTCTGAGTGGAGTTTGCATGTTCTCCTCCTAGGGCTCTGGTTTCACCTACCACTAAAAATGTGTACAATAGGTAATATCCTCAAGCGAAGGGTACTGAGCACTGTACTACGGGGACCACTGCTTCTGACAGAGCCCCATAGTGCCATCAGGATGGGTCAAATGCAGAGGACACATTTCACAATGAAGTATAACTTAGCTTTTTCCAAAATGAGATGCAGGACATCCTAAATTATAGGGAGTGTAGAGTTGCTGTTTAGATATTCTGTTACATTGTTGCCTTAAGGGTTAATATGATTAAGAAAAGACAAAGTAAAATACTGGGTAGTGTTTCAGACATTTGTTGTAAAGTATTTTTCTGTACCTAATTTGTGTGTGCAAATTAATAGTTAAATTGTAACAACAGAAAGTAGAACACCATGGGAAGGCTAACAATTTGCCCTCTGACCAGCCAGATCTTTTTTAGTGCCATATAAATAAAGTTTCAACCCAAATTCTTTCAAATCTACTGCCAATAGCAAGATTGTGTAAAGTTTTTGCAGTGCTTCAATTATGTTCCCTTTAAGGACAATTACATAGCGTTTTAATATTTACCCTATATCTAACTGTACCAAACCATACACATTATAAAAAGGCTGTTTACATTATTGTCTGTGTTGTGTTCAGGCATTAGGTCTGCCCATTACAGACGCCCAAATCCAGGAGATGGAGAGCCACGTGGAGGACATAGACTTTTCCATGGCTGCAGAGGAGGAGCGTAAGCTGAGGCACGACGTCATGGCTCACGTCCACACCTTTGGCCACTGCTGCCCCTCCGCCGCCCCCATCATCCACCTGGGGGCCACCTCCTGCTACGTGGGGGACAACACGGTAACGAGCTCCTCTCGTCTCATCAGTAACGGCATCATTAGGCATGCCTCTGAGCGCATTAACACTAGGGGGTATAGAAGGTCAAATAGCGAGTTTACACATACAGTTGTACTTGAAAGTTTACACACAGCTAGAGATGTCATTGTTATTGCCATAGTTTTGGAGGTTATGAATGTTAACAAACCCCCCCCCCCAAAACTTTTTTATGGTTTGTTGTGTGAAGCCATATATTCATCTGCCATACAAAGCTGCCCAGGACTTTGCAGGAACAATCGCCTTTTGGGCGACACTTAACCCCACTTTGCCTAAAGCCCCCGCTGAAAGATCAAGGCTCCTGTGGACTCACCGCCTGCAGGAGGATAAGTGAGGGGCTGATGCTATGTGTACTGGGTGCAGCTCTGACTGCCACCCCCCCGACTCAGAAATGGATTAAGGGGAAGAAAATGGTTGGATGGATGGATGGATGGAGGCTTTTTGCCAAGAAGAATAGAGGACTTAACCATCAGAGGATAAAGAACCTCATCCATAACTACCACAAAAGACTCTTAAGAACTGGGGGACATAGACGTCGGAACTAGGGGTGCGGGGGGTGCGGCCGCACCCCCTCCGCGTGTGCCGGGAGCGAGAAGTTATTACTATCCTGCGTTCCTTGCAGCCCAAAACCCGCTCCATGCTGTCGGAGAAGCTTATGAAGCTCTGTCTGGCTAATATCTGTCGCAGCCTCTGAGCGCTCTTTCTCAGCCTTGCGCAGATTAGAGACCTGGCTACACCAGTGACGTGCGGTGGGGGATCAATCATGTGTTCATATGATTATACATCATATAAACCAACAGGACCTACAGGAACAGGAGCGGCTTATACACAATTTGTTTGGCTACAGCAGAATATGATTTAATGTCTGCATTGTTTTCTCATACAAAACGCAAACGTTTGTAAAAAGTACAAAGTGTGTTATGGGCCTTACCTTAGGTATTAATGAACAGCACAGACCACTTCAGTTAGGACCAGTTTCATGTTTAAGTCCAGATAATAGTTTGAGCACAGACATGTAATCCTCCATTTGGAAATAAGTTCAATGAGTTTTAAAAAGTAAAAAAAAACGGGTGTCTCCTCCGTAAACTCCGAGTTTTGCTGCAGCCGACTCCCGGGTAAATCCAATTTCTAAATTCAACCTTACCCTTCACCTCCTTTTCTTATGATTCATATCATCATTGGAAGCAAAACATTACTCTAAGTGCATTTTAAATTATCTTAAAATGTATTATAGGTATGTTAGCCAAACCTGTAGCTGCCCTTAGCAGAAGAAGAACAAGAAAGGAGCTTTCTGATGGAATTGGATGCAGCCAAAGTTTGGGCTCACAAGCGCCCCCTTGAGGCTTTCCTCACTTACAAGCAGTGGTTGAGCGCGATTAAGACCCATATTTGCTTCAAAAACACAATTTATGAGCCATCCTCTTAAATGTAAACATGTTGATTGTAAATTAAATATTTTTGGACTTTTTAAACTGTGATAAACAGAGAAAACAGTTTGATAGCACCTCACAGGACTCTCCCTGTGAGCTGTTGCTTTTTACGTCTCCCAAGAGAGGCTCGCCTCACAGCACCGCTCTGTCAAATCTGCGATTTCAAGGTATAAATAAATGAAATAAGGCACAGCACAAATCACTTGATAAAGTGACCAAACATTATTGTATCCATTTTATTACTTTTCTTTCTATGATCTTAGGTGAGGGCCTTGCCTGCCTCATCTGACCGCACGTCACTGGGCTACACAACACAATGAAGCCACCGGAGAGACTGACGCATGAATGCGTATTGAAAAAAAAAAAGTTCAGTTTGATAAGTGACTCGCTTGATAAATATTGTTTATTTTGTTTTTCTTAACAATTAAGATGGTATGTTATTATCCAGTGTAATCCAAGTATGAGTCTCTCCCTCGACTCTCCCAACAAAAACCCGCTCCCCCTCTCAGAAAATAGTTCCGACGTCCATGCTGGGGGATGTAAATATCAGTAGGGCTGAGTTGATCTGGGTCCCTAGCCTCACGATATGCACTACATGGCTCCCGATGCAATGTTATGTATAGCCACAATGTGGTTGTTTCCCTGAGGTAATAAGCTTTAAAAGCTTTAGGTATAGCAGGCCAGGGTAGCTGATACTAAGCCTTAAGACTTAATTTGGTAATGACTCCACTCAAATGAGGGGAAATAACATATCGATAATTAAACAATATTGTGATATTTCACCATATGATATTTGACACCCTCCTATTAATCAGGGTCATTATAATTTGAAGGCAAGGCAAGGCAAGTTTATTTGTATAGCACAATTCATACACAAGGCAACTCAAAGTGCTGAACAAAATAAGAAAGCATTAAAATCATAAATAATCACAGAACATTAAAAAGAAAGATAAAAATATAAAATCCCTCAGTTGTATGCACAGCTAGCCAGAACTGTCTTTAACCTGGTTTTAAACATTGTCAGAGAGGAGGCCTGTCTCACATCTTCAGGAAGACTGTTCCAGATTTTAGCAGCATGAATCTGAAAAGCAGCCTGCCCATGTTTAGTTCTGACTCTGGGCACTAACAGGAGTCCAGTCCCTGTGCTCCTCAGAGTCCAGGCTGATTCGTATGGTACTAACATGTCACTAATATATTTTGGTGCGAGGCCATGGAGAGACTTGTACACAAGCAGAGCTGTTTTAAAGTCTATTCTCTAAGCCACATGAAATGGAAAACTTGTTTATTTGACAATAAATTGCTTCACACAACCACAAACAATGAGTGAAATGTGCAAAATCAAACCCAAACATTTGTTCTGGATGTTCAGGAAACTTTAAGCACAATACATTTTTTGATTTGAGTTATTGATTTGACAATATGATGATTTAATTATTTAATCTTAGTTAAAGGTATATAGGAGGATTTTCTACTTCCGGGTGGATCGTCAAGACTATTGGTCCTCCCAACTGTCAATCATTCTGCTGATACGGCCTCGTCCAATAAGACCAGAGAGTTTCGTTCAAAAAGTGGATAAGGCAGAACTTTCCTAAAAATTGGGAAAATCCTCCTATATACCTTTAAGGTTAGCATATAACTTAAAGCCGTGTTCTTCAAACATATTCTCAAAGGGATACTGCAGGTTTTCATTCCAAACCAGCAAGAGCATGCCAGACTACACCCATTTCAAGTCTTCAGGTCTTCAGACTGGACTCACTCTCACAATGGCCCTTTGTGGACTGGTTTGAAGACTATTGACATTGAGTTTGTATGAAAAACTGGAGAAAAAAGTAAAGGTCTTTCTCAAATTTCCCACATGACAAAGAAACATGATCATGGGGAACAATGGAAATAAGTATGAATTATAATGTTAAATATTCTCACTGTTTCTTCTGTTATAAATCCTACGGAGAAAATCTGTACAATCACTGTCATTGTTTTGCTTTGATGGTAACCAGGATGGAATCTTATTATTGATATTTGTAGATCCATTTGACGAAACACACACTTTAAGCTCATCATTTCCTTTTTCTGTCTGTCCCCTCAGGACCTGATTATGCTCCGGGACGGATTTGACATTCTGCTTCCTAAGGTGAGGCTCAGCTGCAGCTACACGCACACACACACACACACAAAACCCCTACTTCAGCTGTTTATTACCAACTCATCTGCGTAGAAATAATAAGATCCGTTTATCTTTTCAAGCAAAAATCCATCTCCCCAGAGCGCAGAAGGATTGTGCGATGTCGTACGCACAGGGGGCACATCTGGAGTCTTACGCAATGATTAACTATGCGCTTCTTCTTTGTCCACAGCTGGCCCGAGTCATCGACCGGCTGGCAAACTTTGCAGAAAAATACGCTGATCTTCCAACACTGGGCTTCACACACTACCAGTGAGTGTGCTCCTCTGTGGGCATTAATCAGGGGCCTTAGACACCTCCTTTAAACTGCCCTAACACTTGTTCATTATCGGCCAGTTTGACACAATAACTTCTGCTGGCTAAAGTGTTTCCTTCTCTTTGTGTGTGTGCGCACTTAGGCCGGCCCAGCTTACCACGGTGGGGAAGAGGGCGTGTCTGTGGCTGCAGGATCTGGCCATGGACATGCGCAATCTCCAGAGAGCACGCGACGACCTGAGGTTCAGGGGCGTCAAGGGGACCACCGGCACTCAGGCCAGCTTTCTGCAGCTGTTCCAGGGCGACCACGGCAAGGTTGGCCCAGACATAAATCATTTAAGATAAGATGATGGCCACAATGATTTAAATAAATGATAATCCAAAACCAAAAATAACATTAGTTTGCTTTGTACCCCAGTTTATTGATCTATGTAAATTCCTGCTGATGTTTTGATTTTTATATTCATGAGAAGTAAAAACTCTTGGACAACATGAACGCAACCTTTTTAGTTGTCCAATTCTATTTCAGTTGGTGGGCAGGTGAAGCATCGTTTCTGAAAGAATTACACATATTTTCCGAATATTGTCACCAACTCTGGACACCTTTTCACGAGAAAATAATTAGAATGTAGTTGATAAGTGGTGACAAAGAAGATGTTTTTGTTTCATGTTGCTTGTCAAATGTTTCGGCTGCCCTGCACCATTCTTTTACACAATAGTCTCTGTGGAATGATGTGATGTCACATGAACACAACCTACTGTATTTACACTTGATTAAAATGACTATAGAACTTACTGTATCTATAGCCATTTTATAGCATCTATATGCTATAGAATATGTATAAACTCTTACAATTGTACCATAACCGACTTTCTTTGAATTAGGTTGAAGACCTAGATAGAATGGTGACAGATATGGCTGGCTTCAAAAAGTACGTACTTACTAATGGCATTTTAAATTTTCAACACCACCTACAAAACTCTCATTCACTGAAGCCTGATGTTATTGTGCACAGGTCTTACCTGGTGACTGGACAAACGTACAGCCGCAAGGTGGATATCGACTCTCTGTCTTGTCTGGCCAGTATGGGTGCCACTGTGCACAAGGTGAAACTCTACAAAAAGATTTACGTGTTGTCTCCATCTAGTGTTTATAAAGTTTAATTCATTTTTTATTCCCCAGATTTGCACAGACATCCGCCTCCTTGCTAACCTGAAGGAGATTGAAGAGCCCTTTGAGAAGGAACAGATAGGTACGTACTGTATGCAAGCAGGAGTTTTATCAGTTGTTCTACATAGAACGTTATGGTTGAATATTTACATTCTCTGAGCCAAATCCAGCATTTATAGAGTTCTTAGAAATTGGGCCATCCTGCAGGTGTAACACTTCTGTTGGATTAATAGAGTGTGAGCAAAAAGTAGGTCTCAGCTCAAATTTAGCCTGGTAAATGATAACCACCAAACATGATTGAATGCCTTTTCCATGCAACTTTTAGGTCACCCTCTGCAGTGTGAGCCATAACACTAAAACTCCCAGAGCAGTCAATTTGACAGCTATCTATATTTTTGGTCGTCCTAACATACTTTTACTGTTACTATATATAGTTTACTGTCATTATCTTTTTGAAATTATCTTTTATTTTTGAAATATGAGTATCTTCTAGTTCCAATCATCGAATTTAAATTTAAATTGGACGCTTGTTTTTGGCTCGGTAACCAACTTTCAATGGCAGTTGAAGCTTTCTTTTCAAGATGCTGGTCCTGGACTTGTTCTGGTTCTTAGCCGAGTCAGCTTATTTTCCACCAGGAGAGCGAGTGCTGGTTACATAGATAAAAAGACTTACAAATTACTTACTTTTAATATATCTGGTGGAAAACAAAACTAATTTTGGGCCGGGAGATTTCTCAGAATTCTATTGGTTTGAATGGGAGCAGTCAGACTGGTGGCTCTGAGAGTCGTAATAATTTGATTCTGGGTGTCCTGGTGTTAATATTACCCTTCAGTGCGGCATAACAAATGGTTAAAAGCAGGTTAAATGTTTCTCCGAATAGAGTTTAAATGAGTCTCTGTGCAGGTTCCAGTGCCATGCCATACAAGAGGAACCCCATGAGGGCAGAGCGCTGCTGCAGCCTGGCTCGCCATCTGGTGGCGCTGATGGCCAACCCGCTGCAGACCGCCTCAGTGCAGTGGCTGGAGAGGACACTGGATGATAGTGCCAACAGGTCAAACTAACACCTCGTACAAGCAAATAATAATGCATTAGTTCTGTAGAGCATTTATGACCCCCCCTCTGGAGATCCTACCAGAAAACCTTAATGTCTTTTTACAGTCATGTTTTGATCTGTTTTGAAATACAAAAAAAAAAATTCAGACTAATTAATTACTCTTAAATATCCCCCCTTCCCCCTTAAGCTAAGCAGGGCAGGGCCTGGTTAGTACTGTGGTGGGAGACCTCTGGGAACGGCTGTAAAGTGCCAAACTGTCGTTGTGTCTTTTTCTATCAAAGATCAAAGATAGAAAAAGACTGAATGAATGAGGGCGCAACCAGCACATTCTGGAGGGAAAGGGCCATCTCTGCATTATGAGCTGCATCATGAGTCATCTACAGAAAGATCAGCTCGGGGATCAGCGGATCTTTGTCATGCCCCCAGCAGTCCAGTCTGCACTCAGACGAGATAATGCTTTGACAGTTTCTGTATAACTGAATAATGAAGTTTACCCTTTGTTTTCTAACTGTGCAGACGGATCTCCCTCCCAGAGTCCTTCCTGACCGCAGACATCATCCTCAGCACCTTACAGAACATCACTGAGGGGCTGGTGGTCTACCCTAAAGTCATCGAGAGACACATCCGCCACGAGCTGCCCTTCATGGCCACAGAAAACCTGATCATGGCCATGGTGAAGGCCGGGGGCAACAGGCAGGTATGACATCCGGGTTAATTTGTAGTTTAATTTTCATAATTTTAGAAACATCCATGCTCTTAGTGCGATGTAATCTATTTAAGAGTTTGTTTTTATTAGGGATGTACCGAATCCAGGTTTTTGGGGTTCGGCCGAATACCGAATCCACTGGTTAATATTCTGCCGAATCCGAACCCGAATACCGAATCCTACTCCATCCTCAGTCCATTGATATTTCATACGCAAACAGCGGCGGTGTTGTGTACTGTTTAGGGTCCTTACCACCACGAGACAAATCGGCATTGCAAATTGGACATGTAGCTCGACCAGAATCTATTATTATAACATTTATAATAATCCCGCTTATCATTAAACACAAATACATTCAGTTCACAGCAGTGTAAAACTTCAGTGATAAAGTACATATATTACTGTGCATGTCATGTAAAAATAAGAGCTAAAGCACCATACATGCATAAATAGCTTCCACTGGTTCAGGTCAAAACATTATATATATGGACATTTGAGAATATGCCAAACTCATCAGAGACAAGTTGAGAGAAGCTAATGCTAAGAGGCTAGTTGCCTAAACCTGGACTCACCAACTCTGCTTCCACGGTCATACGCAGCTCAGATGACAAGTACCTGGCACTGGTAATCGGCTCCATAAAGTTGGTGAATAGGAAGTTAGTTTATGATCCCATCAGAACCGCATTACAGGTGAAAAGAAGAATCATAACATCCCCTCGCACCGGCATATGACTAGAGCTAATTGGACCGCGGGGATCACATGACCAGGAAGAGACCTCAGCGCACCCGAAGAGGAACAGAGAGCAAGAGGATATAAACCGCCGCTAAAGTGCATGTTTATTTACACTTCCGAACGAATCTGATTTCCGTGACGAATCCAACAGCCACAGCGCGCATAGTGTAAGTGCAGGGTTCGGGTTCGGTGGGGAAAAATTCTAAGGTTCGGCCAGAAACCGAACCCCGTCAAAAAAGCCAATATTCGGCCGAATCCGAACCCTGATCCCTAGTTTTTATATAGACTGTGGTAGTGGAATGACTATGTTGTGTCTATATTGGGAAAGCTAATTTTCCTCTTTGGGTTACATAGACTATTTAAACAAAGCAGAGGGCCACATACTGGTGCTCAATACAGTACTTTTGATGAACCTCACATTGGCCCTCATTTAAGAAACTTGAGCAGAAAAGGGTGTATATTTTGGTGTAGATTCCATATACGCAAATGAAAGTCACGCCTATAAATATTTCACAGACCAGGATCACAAAGCACTTCACATTTAAAAAACCTACATATGAAAATAATACACATACAAGTCAGATTTAAAAATGAAGAAACAGAAGAGGGTCTTCATCATGAACTGTGATTTATTTGAAATTTGCGTGTTTCAATTACACTTTTTCTGATGCGCAAATTAAAATTTCAAAATATGATGCTCAATGAAAACGCAGCTTATAATTTTGCCAAAGTGGGAATGTGTTTATTGTTGTTCAAATCTGGAATTGCATGCGTGTTTTGGCGTATTGTGATGAAGGTTAAGATGGGTGTAAAATTTACACCACCTCCAGACTTGGCGTGTATTTTGTGGGTTCCGTACGTCCATGTTCAGATTGATCAATTCAGAAAAGTGACTATTTTTTGTATGCCTCATTTACACCCTGATTTGGCCGTATGCAAGTTTCATAAATGAGGGCCATTATGTTCTCTTGCCTCCAAAGTTGCACTAAAAGCAATTTATAAAATTCAATACTTAGTATAACCCGCTGAAAGAAAGTACTTTATGGTACTATTGGCAAAGTAACTGCATAAGTCATTAAAATCAATTATCACACCCTTTTCATTTCATATTAGAGTACATATTAAAGGTGCCATATTGCGCTCTTTTTCATGTTTCACAGTTCATCCTATGCACATGTGTGATAATAATTTGAGTGATACACCTCACAACACCATTCAACACTTAAAAGTTGTGAGATTATAGCCATCCTTCCGCCTCCGTCAAGCAAAGACGTGTCCTCAGACCGCTCCTGCTTCTGACTGCCTGCTATCTCTTGTCTTTTGTCTGATTCCTGGAGTTCTGCCACAGACAACTATGATTAACTGATCCCTCAACGCAATTGACTCTATTTTTTCAACATGTAAGGGAGGGTCTGGGGAGCCCGTGTGCCCGGACGGGACTGCACCTGTGGGGTATACTCTTGACAGCTAGAACTCGAGGAGACCCCTTTGTCTGTCATTCCTGTCTATTGAAGATTCGGAAGACGTATATATCTTTGGCATTTTGGTGGTGGGGATCCTCCTTTTTGGGTTTGGAGCGGTCCTTTTCTACCGCAAATTCGGAGGCATGGCGGTTCGCAAGATTCACGAGCTGCTGGCCAACAAAATTGATGGGATGTACAAGGAGTTAAGCCGCGTCGTGGTTGAGATTGCTGTGTCTGGACAAAGGAGAGTTGTGTTAGTGGAACAGTTGATAAAAGACCTCGCAACTCGTTCACTCAAAGGGCATAAGACACTAGAGATGAGACTGAATGACATTGTTTGCCAATCATGAACTCTCTATACCGCCATGGATTTGCCCCTGTGTACGGAGGTCTGAGGGCGCCGCAATTCGGTTTAATTGGATTCAATAGAATATCTGCCTGCTTCTGACTGCTACATTGCATATAATATTGTCCCTCTCAGGCGATGTGTTGTTCTCCATTGCTGTGTCTCCTCTCCACTCTTATCTCACTTTCCTCTGGCAAGGCCGAAGATAACATGGACCCCTACAATTTACAACACTCTGCAGCTCCAGCACGGATCCCGCTCCCCCCGCCTCCCTCTACCTATCCATCTTGCTCCCCCCCCCCCCCCCCCCCCCTCCACTCCTTATTGTCTTTCCGGCTTACCCCCTCCCTGACCCTGCCCCCTCTGACAGCCACATTGGGCCGGCAGTCGGAGGTGCTCATCTCGAGAAAAAAATCCGTGGTTTATACAAAGCACAATGTGTCTATCCAATTGTCTGTGAAACTGTATGTTATTGCTCTCTGCTGTTTCTTGCGCCACACAGCGCCGCAAATGGCAAAGTGGCACGCTCTCTGCCAAAACAATTTCCAAGTGGTAACTTTTGTTTGTTACGTACGTGGCAATAAAAATTATTCTGATTCTGATCTCTGGCATTTTGGTGATGTTACCTCAGTTGGAACTAGCTGATCCAGAGAGGAGTCTGCTCCTCTGCCTCCCCCTGCCCGCGCAGTGACGTAGCCTGACGCTGCAAGTTGTTTATCTCCAAATCAAACTCTTCAGCTTACATAATCATTTCAGACCTGAGCACAAACTTTTTCCAACAATGAAAACCCGACACATTGAGCCCTATGTCCTCGATCCAGAATCAGACCCTAATTATTTAGTTTACAGAACTATACGGCGTGCTAGCATCACTGTACTTACAGACAAGCTGATTGTTAGCGTCTTTTATCGTGGGAATAACACAGGTTTCCAGATCCGTTTTTGGTATGTCCAGTTTCATGGTAACTGTAGTTTTGGAACAGTCTTAGTGAAGTGTCGCAGATTTCAGAGGCAGATCCCCGTGAAAACCTCGAGCCGCATTCTTCCTCTTCGGGACAAATAGTGCATCACATTTTTACACCAGAAACACAGTTTCTCCTAGTTGACAGGATGCTAACACTGTCAATGTGGTGGACGCGGGACCATACCATAGACTTATGCTGGACTCGGAGAGGCTGTGCGTGCTGAATCTGTGATTTGTTTCACCTCCTGGATTTCAGTATAATTATTATTTTTGACAACAAACCGCATACTTATTGTGTATTGTTTTCCCTGTCTTGACAAAAAAAATTAAGAACCATTTTACATACAAAAAAGATGGGTTGGTGATGGGGTCATATTTGTCATCGATGTGGACCTCTCGCTGCCTCTCGAGAATGAAAGCGAAGGATCGCTCTCTAACTAAAGCTTGAAGGAATCAAAGAAAAAATTACTCCGGGCATGTATATGAAGGCCAAATAGCACTGCAATGATTAGAGCAGAGAAAAGTCAAAGAGCGTAATATGGGACCTATTTTAAAAGCTACGCAAGCTAAGCAATATTTCATACATGTTTCTAACCCTAATTCAGGTATCCCATCTCATTAGAATATTATTCATTTAATAAAACATCAATTGATTCTGATTCTGCTCCTCTTCCTCCTACGCTCAGGATTGCCACGAGAAGATCCGCGTCCTGTCGCAGCAGGCAGCGGCAGTGGTCAAACAGGAGGGAGGAGATAACGACCTGTTGGCCCGAGTCCAGGCTGACCCATACTTCGCCCCCATCCTGAGCCAGCTGGACTCTCTCCTGGACCCCAAGACGTTCATTGGCCGAGCCCCCCAGCAGGTACCTCCCCCTCAGTGGGCTTCTCCCCATCTTCCATTGCTGTGTGTTGTAATCAGTGGGGCGGGTCCCGGCTCAAAAAGGTCTATGAGCGTGTGTGCTTACATGCTTGTAATCTCACTCTGTGCTGGTGGGGTTGTACCCGGAAAAAGAATTACCCAATGCTTTTGTGTACCGCCTTTTTTCTTCTCTAACGGCTTTACAGGATGGTCCAAAAGTCGGCTCTTGGCCCAACGCTGCATTCCAGATGCGTGTCAATGCTGGAGGGAGAATTATTTTTTGGACCAGCCTAGTTAAACCGCTATATATTTTTGAATGCACTTGTTAAAACGAATGTTAACGCATGCGCAAACTCGTTTTTTCACATATTCCCGCGGTAGGTGCTGCCCGTTGCCATTTTGAAAAAGCCCACAGAAGGCAAAAGTGGTGGCACATTAGTTTCAACTGCTTAGATAGGCGTGACTACGTATACAGACTATTTACAGTCTATGGTTGTAATCTGATGTCATGTGCTGCAGGTGGCCAGGTTCCTGTCTGAAGAAGTGCGCCCTTTGCTGGAGCCTTACACGTCTAAAATGGATGTCAAGATTGAGCTGGAATTGTGATAGAAATGAACGTGTAACTACATTTTACGTAGTATACAGCTGTGGAATAAAGTGAATATTCATAACAATTTGTCTGGGAGTTTATGTCAACAAACGTGTTGCATCTTCTAAAACATTGTAAAAAGTAAAGCACAGAGGACTAATGCAGGACTTTGTGGACTCTTACAAGTACCTGGGTGTTCATTTGAATCACAAACTAGACTGGACTATAGACTGTAACTGGGCTCATAGCAGATGCCCTCGTCTGTCACCCCCTGCAGGACACTGTTTGCTCTGGAGAGTAGCTTCAGTGACATACTTATCCACCCTCACTGTGTGAAGGAGAAATTCTGCAGGTCTTTCTTTCCTGCTGCTGACAGACTATACAACAGACAATGAGGACTAACGACTACTGCCGTTTTGACCTCATATGTCATGCATCTGTGCATTGAACTAATGTCAGAATGTGCAACATGTACAGATGTAAACATACAACTATATAATTCACTTCACAGTACTTTATACTTTCTTATTATGCCACCGGTCTCCTAGTTGTTTCTTTGATGCTCGAGTTAGAATTTTTATTTTACTTAGTATAGGGATTTTTCATTAATCTTGTACTGTGTACTTCTCATTCCAACTGTTCTGTAACTGGTGATGCGACACTGAAATTTCTCCACTGTGGGATGAATAAAGAATCTCTTACTCTTAATCTTAAAGAAAGATTAGGCTCTTCCCTACCGAAATCTGACATTGATTGAACAAAGAATAGTTTCACCCAAAACACCTGTTGACCAGAAAACAGAGAAAACTCGTAACATATCAAGCAGAGAAGTGTCGCCTTGCTGTCTCTCGCTATCGATGATGATCAGATCCATGATGCTGATCCATGCTACTTTCCTCTCTTCTCTCAGCTGAGGGCAATACTGCTCTCTACAGGTGTCGACTCATCATTACAAGTTATATGTTCACATAGACATATCAAGTTATTTATGTCTATGGTTGTTCAGGGCCTACGTCACGCAGGCCCCCACTATCGGGGCCAAAGGCCATTGTAAACATGCCGCAGTGCTACCTCGCTGTTTCAACAGATCTGAAACTAAAGCAATGACTAAAGTTTCATTCTGACGCTTTCTTGTTGATGACGAAAATAAGAGTAAATGGCTGCAGAGATAAGTTGCAATTTGCAGAAAACATAGAAACTAATGCTAGACCTAGATCTTTGTTATAGATTCTTAGTTAACAAGTAATGTTACATTCTGCCTCAAGGGTCGATATATGTGCATTTTTAGGTATTTCTCTGCTCAACATTGTTGTAATCAGTGCCCAGATAGCAACAGACTCCGGGGCGGATCCGCATTCGGTCCGCCACATCCGCCCCAGAATCAAATCCGCAGAGCGGACCCGCGGCGGATTCAAACCAGATCCACAGAGCGGACGCTCTCTAACCTCCGCAGAGATACGCGTGTGATCCGCGCTGCGGACGCGCCGCGCATCAACCGCATCTCGCACGCGCACAAACTGACACTCGGGGCTAACTGCATTCTCCGAAAGTCCGCTGTGAGTACATCGTCAAAGATCATTTATATTATCCCCAGTTGTGTTATAAAGTTAACTGGGGTTATAGTGTGTCTGTGTGAATGTTTTGTGCCTGCTTTTAGAGCGCAGTAAAGTTTACCAGTAAGTTTGCGTTAAATTAGAGAGTCACATATGTGTATAACCGTTAAGATAGTTTGACAGATGCTGGAGGAATACAGTCTATGAGGAATACCTTTGTAGTTAGTTTCTAGTATTTATCCGAATGTTTTTAGTTGTTGTACTTTCTTTTACGTGAAAGAGATGATTAGTATTAACTAGTATTCCATAATTTACCACCTGGATACTGTAAGCTACTTTTAAGTGTGTATGTGCGCATGTTTGTCCGATCACAGCAGATACTACATGTAACAAATATATTTGGCACTTTTCACTGACCAGGGTTACACAAAATGTACAATTTGCTGTTCTTTTGTATTAGCAGAGGTGACAGGACGTCCGTACAGTAAACTAGAGAACTTGTGAGACCCTATCCATAAACTGTAAGTAACTTCAATGTTGTTTGTATTAGCTTTGTCCAGCAGGGGTCAGTCATGTCACTAGGTGTTCATATCATCTAAGAGGTGTGCTCATTAACTGACTAACTTGAAAACTGGGTTCTGTGATTGCTATGCCATTGTGAATGTTTACTAGTGCAGTGTATTTGTGTGCCAGTGATTTATCAGGTGGGAATATCATTAAGAGCATTAACTGGCCAGCATTGTGTGCTGTTAGCTCCATTACAGTGTGAGAAAAGAGGAGTCACCTCTATACTCTGTCTTGTTGTTATGATGCAGGTTTCTACATATTTGGACAATTCTTTTTCTAAAATATTCTTGTTCGGGAAGTTCTTTTATAACTGGTCCCCAATGATCCCTTTTTCAAACTTGACAGGGCACGATGGAAGGGACAATATTAGTGGCACCTGTGAGACTAAAATGCAATTCCTTTTTCCCTTATTAACCATTAACCATACTAATGTATTTCAAGATCGCGCATTGACATGTAGAATCCTCCAGATCTCATGTACATTTATAGGTCAAATTCTAAGACTGACAACAGTTCAAAAATTCTCAGCAAGAAAATCCTGAATGCTGGTTAGAGCTGAGAAATGAAAACTGAGCAAAGGAAGCTAACCTTTCACTAAAATCAATATATATTAAATTAGATATATTAAATGTCTAATATATATTTTAATTAATATATTCAATGTCAGTTTAGAAAATAATACTCTTTAGTTTTATTAAAGTGCTATAAAGTTACAGTATTGCAACTATGGTGTCATATTGAAAACAATAAAATAATATTGTGACACTATATTTTGAAAATCCCTGGGAAGATATCCTCTTTATAGTTTATCGAGTAACCAATGCCCTAACTTATGCTCTAATCATTTTCAGAAGATGAATAGAAAGACAATGCCAGTTTCCAAGTCGGCGTTAAGACGGAGGGCCCTGATAAATGTAGCAAGGAGACTTCAGGATATTGCTGATCAAAACCAGGAAAGGGAACAGGCAGGCCTTTACTCTGGAGTTGGAGAAATGGCTTCAGGACAGATCAGAGACATGGACAGAGGACAAAAAAGGGATTTGGCCTCGGGAGACATGGGGGACTTGGCCCCTGGAGAGGTGCGGGACTTGGCCCCTGGAGAGGTGCGGGACTTGGCCCCAGGAGAGATGGATGATGTTGTTTATGATAGTGATGATTTTTATGTTGAAGCAAATTATAGTTTTGAGTCAGAATCAGAGAATGAAAATATCCAAGATTCCCTTCTGGATAGGGTTACAAACTGGGCAATACATTTCAAAATTTCCCTGGTTGCTTTGACAGCACTATTGGCCATTCTCAGAGTGTATCATTCTGGCCTACCTAAAGATGCCCGGACCCTTTTGAAAACAAGAACAGACTATGTTGTTGTAGACAAGGCTGGTGGACAATATCACTATTTTGGTATATTAAACTCTCTTACAAACACTCTTTCCAAATGCATAAACTCTTTGGCAAACAACACTACTCTAAAATTCCACATTAACATTGACGGCCTTCCCCTTTTTAAAGGCTCTAGCATACAAATGTGGCCTATTCTGGCTCTTCTTGTTTCTGTGCCTATGAAAGAACCAGCAGTTGTGGCCCTGTTTTCTGGTCCCAAGAAACCAAACTCCCCTCATGAATATCTCTTGGATTTTGTCACAGAATTAAAATACCTGGAGAATGGCTTTGAGTTTGGAGACAAGACATTAAAACTAAAGCTGGATGCAGTGATTTGCGACACCCCTGCACGATCATTTGGAAAGAATACTAAAGGTCATAATGCCTATCATGGCTGTGACAAATGTGTTGAACCTGGAAAATATGTAAATAATCGGATGACATTTGAAAACACTGACTCTCCATTAAGAACGGATGCTTCATTTGAAGATATGGTTGATGATATACATCACCGTCAAGGGCCAAACCCATTTCTAGGCTGCCAAATTGGTATGGTTACTGGATTCCCTCTTGATTATATGCATCTGGTGTGTTTGGGAGTGATGAGGAGATTATTAAGCATTTGGTTACGAGGTTCATTGAACTTTCGAATCCCTGCCAATATTGTTGAGATAATGTCCCAAAAATTAATTGATATGCGGCCCTACATTCCAGTGGAATTCTCAAGAAAACCGCGTTCTCTTCGGGACGTAGACAGATGGAAAGCTACTGAATTCAGATTATTTCTTCTTTACACAGGTCCTGTCATGCTTTCCTCATTTTTGGAACAGAGCAATGTATGATAATTTTTTGCTTTTTTTTTGTGGCATAGCTATTTTGGTGAATCCAAAATTTTCTTGTCATGCCATTTATGCCCAAACTCTGTTGAAATCTTTCGTTCAGTACTTTGGTCGCATTTATGGGAATGATCTACTTGTGTACAATATTCATTCGTTAGTACATCTTCCTAATGATGTTCAAAAACATGGCGCTCTTGATTCATTTTCTTCATTTCCTTACGAGAGCTACCTTTACAAATTGAAAAAAATGCTGCGAAAGCCCCACTGTCCAGTTGCTCAAATCATTCGGCGTTTATCAGAGATGGATGTTACTGAGGAAAAAAAAGAAAAAATAACTTTGAAAAAGGAACATCTTGCTGGACCTGTGGTAAACATTTCTAATGTGCATAAACAGTACAGAGAAATGGTTTCTGAGGAGTGGACGTTGAAAATTTCTTTGGGTGATAATGTGTTTGCAATTGGAGAAAATGTTTGTGAAATCTGTAACATTGTAAAGTGTGATGAGGGTTTGTTTGTAATGTACAGAGAATATTCCCAAAAATCATCATTTTTTACATATCCCTTTGAATCAGACTTCTTGCAGATATTTAAAGTATCTAACCTATCGCAATTGGTAAAGTGCGCACGAGTAGGAGAGCTCACCCATAGTTCTTTTGCCCCACAAGGATCATTTTGTGGCTTTCCCCTTGTGCCATACCTTATAAACATAGCGTATGAGGGGGGTGGGTGCATGGGGCGAGATGTTTTTATGTTGATATTGTCTTTGTCCCTAATAACTTCAAATCAGATGCTTTTTATCCTCGAAATCGGAAAGTGAAAACAGAGATTGACTCCTTGGTTGATAGTTGCTAGATTCAAGATTATGGAACCTGTTGTGAGCGGCTTTAAATGTTTGTGTGTGATTTGGGGGACTGGGGAAACTACCTCACTACTTAGTCAAAAAAATCCAAAGTTGTAAATAGTGTGAGTAAATAAATGCTTTATGATTTTGCATATAGATAGACGTGTAATTGTTATGTTTTCTGTTTCAGTCTTGTGATGTATCATTTAATTGAATTTGTTGAGAACAAGCTTCTCTCTATTGCCCCATCGGTGTGGGTTGAAGATGGCATGTGCTTTTGGCCACCTTTTCAAGATGATGCTCGCAACGATAGGGCATGCAGGAAAAAGGAGCTTCCCGGAGACGACTGGCTTAAATTTGATATACGCATCCTGAAAACATGTGGTAAGCTTCATAAAGACACTTCTGACCTACAAGAAGATATTACGATCAACAGCGGTTTTGGACAAAATATTGGAGTGATCTGATATGGCCAATTTTATGTTTTCTTCAGCTTTTGGTGTTTTTGTTACTATGTTTATGTGATGAGATCAGAAAAAAATATTGTTTTGCAGACCAGTACCTTGAAGTCAGGCAAACTTTGCAGAGGGCACTGACCTGCTCCACATCTGACCTTCAGTCAGACGAGGAGCATGCTGGACCAAGAAAGAGGAAGCGTAAAACAAAGTAAGTAAACTGTGATTTTTATACAATAATTTCTAGCAATGGCAATTCATCTGTGAATTAATCGAAAATGTTCCCACTGTGGCACAAATAAAGAATCTCTTCATCTTGATTGTTTTACTGGTAACTGGTAAAACACTAATGCTGTTAAATGTATCCTCAGTCACTTTTATGGAGACAGTGGCTCAGAGAGCTCTGAGCCAGAGCCAAGAAAAGAGAAAAGAAAAGCTCCATTTATTCCACCACCACCACCACCAACAACACAAGCAATGGCCAAAGAACACACTCCTACTTCACCTTTGAATTTGACCTTTTTAAAAGGTGGTATAAATATTAAACAGAATAATAGTTGCAATTAAATTGTAATATTTGTGGCTTGGTTTTTATTAATCTGGTAATTGATTCATTATTTAAAAGCACATTTTGCCTCGTTTTTCAGCTACACAGATCCAAATACTGGGCCTTCTTGAAGCGATAAAGCTCCAGCAAGAGCAATTAATGCTGAAAGTCAATTATTTGCAAAGCAAAGTGTGTGCAACTCCATCACAATCCGAAGTGAACTTCCCAGAGGCAGTAACATTTCCACTAAACACATTGGAGGATGTGGAAAGGATGGAGGCATGGATTAGAGGCACCAACATGGAACTGAAGCAGCAAGTGGTTGGTTACACATTTGATTCAAACAATACAATGCTTTACAGCAGTCAGTTCAAGTGCTTGGTTAAAGTGCATCAATATAAAACAAAAACAGGTAGTAGCAGCCATTAAAATTAGTTTGAATAATTCACATTGTCTTAATATTGTCAAGTTTGAAAATGAGTAAATCAGTCATGAAAATAAGAAATCATTTAAACATCATTCATCCAAAAACAAATGGAAGAAAGTATTAAGGTAGTGGTTATCAAAGCCTGGCTTGTACCGGTTTTAACAAACTCGAGGAGCCTGGGGAACTTGTATGACCCCAAGAAATCGCTGTCCTAAGAGAAAAAAACGGATTGTTTATGTTGCAGATCAACAAGCTTTCAGCAATCGGTGGGCAAGACCACAAAAAAGTCACGTGGAATATCCTGGCCTGCATTTTCAACGACAGCTGTGCCCAGAAAATCAGCTGGAAAGGGGTTCATGGCAAAATACCATTCAAAAGTATGGCCTTGAAGACTCTCATTTTGGGTGAGTTCAAATACTGTCAAATACTGACATACTGTGTGCCTGGGGGTCCTCGCTACGTTTGAGTTCATTGCTTTTTAAATACAAACCTCAATGGAGCAAAATTGTGTCAATAAGCCATGATTTCATGGCTTGTGATCTATAATTTAATTCAGTTTAAAGACACAGTATTAATTGGAAGTAATCCTTATCATCAAAATGTTACATGTGCACATGTAAAATGTGCCTATTGTATGAAAGTATTATACTCAATAATCTCTTTGTATTGTTATTATTCTTCCAGAAGCTGTAAAAAGGAATAATCTCTGCCGCACAATCACGGACGTGGAGGTTTTTAAGCACTGCATTAGGTGGTTTAATTTGGCAGCAGACAGAGGTCTGGCAAGGACCATACCACCGTCTCCATAAGTTTATGGTTTTGGGTATTGTTTATTGTGTTTGCATCTTTATTATTTATTTTTATTGTAAAGAGACATGTTTCTGTAAGTCTATATATTGCAAAAAAATTACAAATTGAATATTACAATTATTTATACCATATTGAGTGAGATTCAGTGTGTGATTGGGCTGGTCATTTTGGTCGCCGTGTAGAGCTCCACAGATAGCCTCTACAAAATACACATGTACATAATATTGTAAATTTACATAAATATGTTTTGTAATAACTTTGTTAAGTAAAACAAATAGTCTGCTGTTCAGGTGGATTACATTCAACTACATCCTAATGGCTAAGGTCATGAAAAATCTGGAAATATGTTATATTTAATACAGAAGATCATTTTATGATCATGATTATTTAATGGTTCTTAGCAACTCATTTTAAGGTTAAAGTAGATCATAGTTCATTGGTAAGTAATTACTGTACAACATGAGTCTGAAAGAAAACAACAAATCTGATGTTTCTTTTATGTATTTTAGATTTTCTTCTCGTTGGCAGTATTGCACATAATGAAGATGGAACATGATTCATCTTCTTGGTGAGTATTCAGTGTTAATGTGTATATTAGATAACTCTGATCCTATGATTATGAGACTTGTTTGTTTTCAATACTCTCATTTTACTGCAGTGTCCTCGCTGAGTATCTGGGTCTGGTCAGTCAGGTCCAGGCTGCGACCTCAGGATGAGGGCATCAGGACAGCAGTATATTGGGGTTTAGTGTTTACAATTACTACATAAATATTACCCTGTTTTTTATGAATCTTTTGATATAAATAGGACGGGGACGCTGAGCCAAGGACATTTGGAATGGCTGTGCTGTACAACTTTTGGTAAGTCTAAAAAGAAGAAAATACTAAAGTGAAATGTCCACTGATCTAATCTGTGTGTGCTCATGTCAGACTCTGATGCTGTGAAAAGGGGAAAACCTTTACTGGAACATGACAGACCAAACTAGACAAATCTTCAAGATTTATCTGAGCAGGCGCCACATGGAACCATCTACAGCTGCAGAAGGAGAGCCATAATCTACACCTACTGCTGCCTTTTGGACTTGAGGACTAGAGGCTATTCCCCAAAAAATGTATTCAAGATATGTATTTGTTTTGAATTGTTAATGACTAAAGCATTGGTCCCAAACCCAATGACCTGACAGACTTTTACGGACACACAATTCTTTGAAACTACAAACTGTTGACAAAATGTTGTGGCCATTTCAGTCCCATTATGTAGCCCAGTCTTTTTTGATAAAGTGAATACATTGATACATAACCTGTGCTATAGTGAACTAATTTGCATTGTGTAGCATGTGTGAAGGGAGGGCCATGTTGTTAGAGCTGCAGCTGCTTTTGGATCTGACAGAATCTATTGGATTATATTTTTATAAAATTGCGTCCACAATTTTTGTACTGCATATTTGATTTTAAAAAGATTAAAATGTCTAGTTTGCATCATAGATTATTAAAAAATACTTTATTTGTGTACTTACATATGGTTTAGAATATATGAAAGGAACTATGCAATATATAGTAAGTATTGTAATTGCCATTAAATAATAAATAATATTTGACTTTATATAGCAGGAGTAATGTATTGTGTCCATTATGGTTTTTGTGTAGTTACAATATGTACAAAATCTTATTTCATCCAATGCTTTCTAATTAAAAATTGCAATACCAATAGGCATGTTTACATGCAGTGAGTATATATTCACATGACATGCAGCAGAATTCAATATATACATTATTAGATCCGCGGGACAGAACAGGTAAGCGGATATGCAGCGGGTCCTGAGCGGATCCGCCAAGTCCGCAGCGGACCAGCAGCGCCACCGCGGCAGATCCTCAGTGAAAAGACTGTTATCCGCGGCAAGACCGCCACGGGTCCGCCACGGGTCCGCCGCGGTCCCGCGCGGCGGACCCGTGGCGGATGCGCTGCGGTGTGCAAGTGAACTCCAATGCGGACCCGCTGCGCGCATCCGCGGCGAATCTCAGGATACCTCCGCCGCGGGTCCGCCGCGGATACTTTTTGCTAGTAGGGAGTTCTTTGGATGGATACCGATATTTGGTGTTTCACTTATCACTTCACAACCAGTCAATCTGAATCTATTGGGGTGGTTTATATTTGTATCCCAGCCCTTCTGAAACATTTATTGTGTCACAGTCCGGGGCGAAGCTAGCTGAAAATATGTCAAGCACCCCATAAAAAATGAAAAAAATAATAATAACAAAGGATTTTTAAAACGCGTCCAGATCATAGACTGTCCAGATATAGGTTATGTATAAATACTGTTATTGTTTTTTTTAAATTCGTTGTAATCATCCATTTTAAAATGTCTGGACTGGAGTCATTCCATTTCATACAAAGAACGCCTGTCTGTCTGTCTGTGTCTGTCTGTGTCTGTCTCTGTCTGTCTGTGTCTGTCTGTCTGTGTCTGTCTGTCTGTCTGTGTCTGTCTCTGTCTGTCTCTGTCTGTCTGTCTGTGTCTGTCTGTCTGTGTCTGTCTGTCTGTGCGCTGAAACTGAGCTACAGCTGTGTTTGCCGGTGACTTTCACGTTTACTTGGTTGTTAATTCATTTTCTATCCCATCTTTTCCCATAACCTTTATGTGAACAGTTCTGCTGCTGACGCTACAAACACTGGTGCGTATATGGTACGTATACTAGTGTCTGTGGCAGATCTAAAAGTCCGCCTTAAAGTTCTCTTGAATTGAGTCATTTGGCGTCACATTTACTTATCTCCTGCTTGTCACGCACACAGTTCGTGTTTTGTTTGGTAAAAGTATGAAGCCCTCAAGCCCTTAGCATTCCACTAACAAATAAAACAAACCTAGCTAGCTCTGTAATGATATCTTCATCACTGTCACTTGATGAAGTAGCACAGTAAGTCTGTTAACTCCATACTGAAAGCAAAAATCACATTTACACTGCATTTTTGTTAGCAAGAGTGGACTTAGCTGCAAAGATGGATATTAGAGGGTTTTTCCTTTGACCAGAGATTACGGATGGCTAAAGCCAGGCTTGGATTGACCCCACACTGGACCAAATGGACATAGGCCTACTGCAGAGAGCATCTCGTGTTATTTGCTTGATTAATTGCTTCTAGGGTTCAATGAGTGAAAGTCATTATTTTATTTGTGTGAAAATAAGCTTTAAGCATGTATAAAATTGCTCATATAAAGAAAACATGACGACTCCCTTTTTTGAATAGAAACTAGATTCACTCCATGCATTTTACAGAGAGACAAAGAGAACATTTGTCTACAAGTTTGGTTCCATTTGTGATAATCTTCAGTATGGTCTTTTATTGGCTGTCAATTTGAAAGAATTTCAAAATATGGCACTAAAATATATCTCACTTAAAAAAAAAACACGTCTTGGTGGAAGCCAAATTGTAAGTCTTTTTTTTCTTATGGTAAGTTAAAGAGATAAGATAAAAAGTTACATTAAATACAATAAGTTTAGTGAGAGTTATTCAAGAGCACTCAACCAGGTTAAAGTCTAACTCAGAACTTCACTTTTCAAGCAAAAGTCCGCCCTCATGTTGCCTAACTTCACTGTAAATCTACTCATTATCTATCACGAACGAAACTGTACGTTTTAGCCACACCTATTTTCAAACTGAGGTTTAGTCCTTGCAGAGTTTACAACACACCATAAGTCTACAGTTTGGATGTGATTGGATGAAACTTTTCCGAATGAAGCTTGGGAATCACCTTTAAGCTACTGTAAGTCCAACTCAAGTCTTTTCTACTTTATTTTCATTCACCAAATCAGTGGAATGTATGTACTTTGTCACTTTAGGGTGAGGATCATTAAGACAGTGACGTGCCCCTGACATGTGGTTGTGGGCGCTACTTCCACTGAGCCTGGCCGTGTTTGGCACAGCTGGTATTTGGATAGTGTAAGCATTGTACACAAACACACACTATTACAATACTCTTCCTATGTTTCATTTTAAAAAGCACAGAGTAATTAAAACCTATGATCTGAAAGCCTTCGTTTCCCCATGCAGATATGCAATATCTGTGTCTAATGGTACGGTCAACATCACAGAGAGATTCCCATACATCAGGTCTGAAATATATTCAATTCTTTGAGAAGGAGAAGCAGGATTCACTTTTGTCTTACATTTGCAGCGAGTGTGGCAGTTATCCACCTCAGAGCACTTTCTTTTCTCAGTACTGCAACATCTGCGCTTTCCTAGGTAAGTCAATTCAGTGCCCTAAAGCTGCCGAACTGTTTTATTGTTTCATAAATAAGTTTCAGAACAAAGACAATACAAAGAACAGATCAAAAGGAGTAGACAGAAAAGTAATAAACAGCTAGTGAGGTCCCGCCCCCTTTAGTGACTATGGGTCAAAGGTTTTAGGATTACCATAAAGCTACAAAGATTAAAATTAAATACACCATAATGTGCAGATGTACCCTTTGACTTAATCATCTTTACAATACGTTGTGTCATGTGTAATATGGAAATAAGGCATAAAAATAATGAAATTATTCCTTTCCTATATAGTAAAAGTATAAATCAGAATCATTTTTATTGCCAAGTAAGTAACAGGAAGTCACAGATTTGAAAATGGCTTTGGCTCAGTGCATCAGTCAGAAAAGAGAGGTAAAGAATACAGAATAGAGTAAGGCATAATAGAAATCAGCATACATTTCTAAGGTATAACATTTAAAATAGAATTATTTTGAATACAATTACAATATACAATATACAAGTGCACATGGTGCACACAATATGCAGTATGCAGTGCAATAAGGTGACAAGCAGTAAAGTGACGTTTTGATGGGCATTAAAGTGTCTTAATAAGGGACATTAAGGTGACTTTATAGGGGGCCGTGAGAAGACTTATAAAGGGCGGGGGTAACGGGTTATGAGTGTTAAAGAGTCCAATAGCAGAAGGGAAGAAACTGTTCTTATAGCAGGAGGTTTTGGTCCTGATGGACCGCAACCTCCTGCCCGAGCGGAGAGGTTGGAACAGTCCATGTGCAGGGTGAGAGGGGTCAGCAATGATACGACCACCCCGGCCACGAGGTCCTGCAGCGATGGGAGGCTGGGGCCAATCACTTCCTCTGCAGAGCGCACAATGCGCTGTAGTCTCTGTTTGTCCCTGACTGTGGCTCCAGCGAACCACACGGTGATGGAGGAGGTGAGGATGGACTCGATGATGGCCGTGTAGAACTGCACCAACATCTGTGCAGGCAGCTTGGCTTTCCTGAGCTGCCGCAGGAAGTACATCCTCTGCTGGGCCTTCTTGATGAGGGAGCTGATGGTCGGCTCCCACTTGAGGTTCTGGGTGATGGTGGTGCCCAGGAAACGGAAGGACTCCACAGAGGTGATGGGGGAGTCCATCACGGAGGGTGGGGGCGGGGGGACAGTGCTCTTCCTGAAGTCCACAATCATCTCCGCTGTCTTCTGGGCGTTCAGCTCCAGGTTGTTACCACTGCACCAGGACACCAGCCGGTCCACCTCCCTCCTGTAGGCGGACTCATCGTTGTTGGAAATGAGTCCAATGAGGCTGGTGTCGTCCGCGAACTTGATCAGCTTCACGGAGTCGTGGCTGGAGGTGCAGTGGTTGGTGTACAGGGAGAAGAGCAGGGGAGAAAGAACACAGCGAATATGACCATAAATGAACTTAAGCCCAAAGAAATGAACATAGAAGTGGACACACACGCCGTTCAGCAGGGCTGCTCTGTGCACCTTTTTAGTAAACTTTTAACAACTTTTTAGCGCGTTTTTATTGTTCAGTTTTTTAATATATCTGAGTGTTTTATCTTATTAATTAAGTGGTTTCCGCAAATAGCGCTTAGTCCCGACTGAAACCCACTAGTAGCACAGAGGCTAACACAAGCTAACGAGGACATGGAAAGTGACAATGAAATTGGCTCAAACATGCACAATATTAGTTGCCTCACCTTGGAGCTCCGTGAGAGCGACCGTGCCACCATTGCAGAACTACGAAAAGAAGTCCTTCGTCTCACCGCAGAGTTGAATGAGAAACAATCTCTAGTGTCCAAACTTTTTGAAGTCGCTGGTGGGCAGCATTCACGGCTTATGTCACTGAGCGCTGCATATTGTGACACTGTCGTGTGGGAGAGATCCGTCAGCTCCGGACCCTCCTGTTCTACACCTAAGCGCCCGGTTCTGAATAAGGAGCCCGCGGATTCCGAGGAGCCATCCTGCGCCGTGGCCCATGTCCTGAGTCTGGCAAACCGCTATGCAGCCCTCTCCACTGACATCCCGGCCCCCTCAGCAGAATCCCTGGACACTGCAGCGTACTCTGTTGCTCGAGGATCCAAGTCCACTGCGAGGAAAACGCTCCTAAAGGAAGCAGTCCTCAGGCGAAAGAGCGGTCCACCAGCCATGTTGGCCTGTTCCCCTTCTTTGACCCCAGTGCAGCAGCCTCAGACTGGGGTAGCGAGCCATCATTACCACCGCTCACCTCCACCGGGTCAGCAGCAGCACCCAGAGCCAGCCCCGCTCACCGCTCCAGCGTCCCCGAGCACACAGCGTGGGTCGCCTGTAGCTGAGAGTCAGCACCCCCGCTCCTCCTCTCCATGTGTTCAGCGGCGCTCGGGTCCTGCTTCGGGTGAACCCGCTGGTTCCGTCCACCGAGCTCTTTCTCCGAGGCCGCGTCCACGTCCACTCTTCGCCCCGACCACTCTGATTATTGGAGATTCCATCGTGAGACACGTCCGCTTCTTTAACGCGGTCACTCGCTGTATTCCCGGAGCTACTGTGCCAGACCTGCTCATACGTCTCCCTCCTCTGCTTCAGTCCCTGCCTGATACCGTTTCCAAGGTAGTCGTGCATGTGGGAATTAACGACATAAAACTTCAGCAGTCAGAAGTCACTAAGAAACATTTTATGGATCTGTTCCACCTCCTTCAATCCTCCGGATTATCTGTTTTTATTTCTGGTCCAATCCCGACTGTAAACAGAGGTGACTGCCTCTACAGTCGTGTTGTGGCGCTGCATATGTGGATCCAGGCTACATGCAGCTCTTTTAACTTTGTCTTTGTGAATAACTTTGCCCTTTTCTGGAAACATTACGAAGCCTATCGTCCAGACGGATTACACCCAAACAGATACGGTAGCAGCCTGTTGATGGACTACATGCGTCATGTCCACTCTTCGCCCCGACCACTCTGATTATTGGAGATTCCATCGTGAGACACGTCCGCTTCTTTAACGCGGTCACTCGCTGTATTCCCGGAGCTACTGTACCAGACTACTACTGTAAACAGAGGTGACTGCCTCTACAGTCGTGTTGTGGCGCTGCATATGTGGATCCAGGCTACATGCAGCTCTTTTAACTTTGTCTTTGTAAATAACTTTGCCCTTTTCTGGAAACGTTACGAAGCCTATCGTCCAGACGGATTACACCCAAACAGATACGGTAGCAGCCTGTTGATGGACTACATGCGCCATGTTGTTCAGCGTTCCCCGAGGGGGGCGTGACTGTTTACATCTGAGCCCCCTCGGACCCCACCGCACTCCCCCGCCTCCTGCTCACCAGCACCGGGTGAGTACAACGGTGCAGACACTGCTCCCTGTCCGTCTGGCAGTGCATTACCAGTCCAAACACTGAACTGTGCTGACTCCCTTCTGACTCTGGGAGCTAAAGAACAACAAGGGTTTTCACATTTTAGGCCAATTGAGACTGTGTGTGTTCCTCGCACCAGCTCAAAAATGTTTTTAAATTCTAAAAAACGAAATCAAAACAGGACAGCAGTTAGACGGTCCAACTCTGCAAATCTAATTTCTGTTCCCTGTAGAAATCAATCAACCACATTAATCGACTCTGACGTTATTTTTAAACTTGCTATGCTTAATGTCAGATCTCTATGTAACAAATCATTTTTAATTAATAATTTTATCACTTCTTATGATCTTGATTTTATGCTTATGGCTGAAACATGGCTGGACCAAAATACAGGAAATGCAGTTCTAATAGAAGCAACACCACCCAATTTTAAATTCGAATCCGAAATACGAGAAAACAAAAGGGGGGGAGGCATAGCTGCAGTTTTTAGAGAGCACTTTGTCTCCCATAGAATGCCCCTTGGAAATTTTTCATCGTTTGAGTATATTTCTTTTAAAATGGAACAAAAGCAATCTTCTACTCTTTTCATTGTCCTGTACAGGCCACCACAGTCATGTTGCGATTTTATTGACCATTTTACTGAACTACTTTCATTCGTGTGCACAGATTTTGATAGTTTAGTTATTACAGGTGATTTTAATGTACATGTTGATAATGTTGATGACAGAAATGCAAAGGAGCTGGCTTCTGTATTTGAGACCTTTGGTTTCATTCAGCACGTGAGTGGCCCCACCCACAGCAGGGGGCACACTCTTGACCTGCTAATTACAAAGGGGGTTAATGTATCAAATGTTAATGTAGTTGATGTTGCTTTGTCAGATCATTTCTGTGTATTTTTTGACATGTGTTTTGCTAGCAAACCACCAGCTGAATTTACAATTGTTAGAAGAAGACACATACATGAAAACACAAGTGAACTGTTCATGGGAATGCTAAATTTTGAGAAAACTCCATGCTCTACTGTTGATGAATTGTATAACTCTGTCACCACCAGTGTTCTGACTGTTCTGGACGCCATTGCTCCTGTGACGGTTAAAATAGTTACCAGTAAGAAAAAGGCCCCATGGACTAAGGCAGACTCGGTCAGGGCACAGAAGCAAGAGTGCCGGAGGGCCGAACGGAAGTGGCGAAAGTCCAATTTCCAGGGCGATTATGAAATCTTTAAAGATGAGTTGGGTGAATTTAACCGGGTTCTACGTAGAACAAGAGAAATGTATTTTTCTGACATTATTGGAGGTTGCAGTAACAATTTTCGTGTTATGTTTTCAACAGTTGGTAGATTAACGAACCCCCCTGTAAAGTTGCCCCTAGAATTTTCCTCTAAATCTAGGTGTAATGAGTTCGCACAGTTTTTTGATGACAAAGTACAAGGAATCAAAAACACTATCACCTCCACAGCACGTATAACAATGCAACAGCCAGAGAAGCTTTTTGAGCTAACTCACTTTGCACCTGTGGATACTGAAACTGTCAAAAAGATAATCATGAGTCTGAGCTCCTCCACATGTAGCCTGGATATATTACCCTCTAAATTTCTGAAGTCCGTCCTGAGCAGTTTGTTACCTTCACTGACACAAATAGTAAACATGTCTCTGTCATCAGGAACATTTCCTATGGCCCTAAAAACAGCAGTCATAAGACCTCTCCTAAAAAAGAGCAGTCTGGATCCTGCGGGACTTCAAAATTATTGCCCCATATCGAATCTGCCATTCATTGGAAAAATTCTTGAAAAAGTGGCCTCCCAACAACTTAATGAATTTTTAACAATGAATAATTCTTTTGATATGTTCCAGTCTGGGTTTAGACCCCACTACAGCACTGAGACCGCTCTAGTGAAGGTAACAAACGACATTCGACTTCACACTGATGCAGGTAAAGTCACAGTTTTGGTCATGTTAGATCTTAGTGCCGCGTTCGACACTGTCGACCATGAGATCCTCATGCAGAGACTGGAGGACTGGGTTGGTGTCACTGGCACAGCCCTAGACTGGTTTAGGTCTTACCTTGAGGATAGGAAGTACTTTGTGGAGATTGGAGACTGCGTCTCAGATCATGTGGCCCTGACCTGTGGAGTACCACAGGGGTCGATCCTGGGACCTCTCCTATTTAATCTCTACATGCTGCCGTTAGGTCAGTTAATACAAAGAAACAAAGTATCCTACCACAATTACGCTGACGACACTCAGATCTATGTCTCACTGACTGCAGGAGAACATGGACCACTGGATTTGCTCCTTCACTGTATCCAACAGATCAGTGACTGGATGCAAAATAATTTCCTCCAGCTAAATGCAGACAAAACCGAAATCATTGTCTTTGGTCCCCAGAAACAAAGAGAGGGCGTCATTTGTCAACTTCAGTCTCTCTCCCTACTTCCTTCAGACAAGGTCAGAAATTTGGGGGTAATACTGGACTCAGACCTAAATTTCAATAGCCACATAAAATCAATAACATCAACAGCTTTTTACCATCTGAAGAACATTGCCAAAGTTAGAAATATAGTGTATTTATAGTGACAAATATAGTATTTGTCTCCAGCAGGCTAGACTACTGCAATGGCCTGCTTACAGGTCTGTCCAAACAGACCTGTAAGCAGCTGCAGTACATCCAAAATGCAGCAGCTAGAGTCCTGACAGGAACCAGGAAGTATGACCATATTAGTCCGGTCCTCAGGTCTCTGCACTGGCTTCCTGTGGCTCAGAGAATAGATTTTAAAACAGCTCTGCTTGTGTACAAGTCTCTCCATGGCCTTGCACCAAAATACATTAGTGACATGTTGGTGTCATATGAACCGGCTCGGACTCTGAGGAGCACAGGGACTGGCCTCCTGCTGGTGCCCAGAGTGAGAACCCAAACATGGGGAGGCTGCGTTTCAGATCCATGCAGCTAAGATCTGGAACAATCTCCCTGAAAATGTGAGGGAGGCGTCTACTCTGTCAATGTTCAAATCCAGGTTAAAGACTGTTCTGTTTGCCTGTGCATACAACTGAAGGATTTTATCTCCATTTCTAATGCACTGTTGTCATTTATTTATTTATTTTTTTAAATTTCTTGTGTAATTTTGAAAGTTTTAATGGTTTTATTCTTTTGTGTGATTTTAATGTTTTAATTGTGTTTTAATCTTTTGTGTGATTTTAATGTTTTAATTGTGTTTTAATCTTTTGTGTGATTTTAATGTTTTAATTGTGATTCTGGTGTTTGTTTTATGTGATGATTTGTGATGTGGACTGTGAAGCGCTTTGTGTTGCCCTGTGTATGAAAGGCGCTCTACAAATAAACTTTGATTGATTGATTGATATCAGCACTTCTATGTACCCATAAGGAGTATGATTGTCTGAAAATGTGCTGATATTCACAATTAATACACTATGGTTAACCACTTCAAACCTAAACATTAACTACCAGCAGTCAAAATGTAATGAGTAGAAAGTACAGATATTTGCGTTTAAAAGTAAAAATTAAAGTTAAAGTAAAAATATCTATCCATTTTCCTCCCCTTAATCCATTTTTGGGTCGGGTCATACCTGCACCCAGAACACAGAGCACCAGCCCTCACCGATCCTACTGCAGGTGGTGAGTTCACAGGTTCCAGCGGGGGCTTCAGGCAAAGTGGGGTTAAGTGTCTTGCCCAAGGACACAACAACAGCAGACATCAGTGGGAATTGTGCAGGGAAATATTGTCCACAAATAGGTAGTAAAGTCAAGTACTGCTATAAATACTCAAGTATAGTTCTTTAGAATACTTTCCACATCTGCTTACTATTTACACCACTGCTGATTTCAAGATGTTTTGTTTATTAGTGTATTAGTTTATGTATAAATATAAATATTTTTGTGTGTTTTTGGACAGGGCTGTGGATTGTGGCGCTCCGGTTCCAGCAGGTCCGGGATTATGCGGACCATGGGAAAGCCAACACTCTGAGTGCGGTTTTAGGATTCCTCTCATGTGTCGGTGTCTCGGTTCTTGGCAATTTTCAGGTATAATGCAAAGCTCTAATTCTTTCATCATGAATACAAAGTGGTCTGAAACTATGAACCAATCCAACTATTTCAGTTCAGATTCCATTCCCTGCCTGTTTTGTATTTTGTGATACAAACTAATGTATGGAATTTTTTTTTCTGTACTAAAAGAGTCGTTACTGTTTGTTTTGATCGAACAAAAAACTGGACCAAAGGTTAAGAGTGTGGAGTGATGTGTCAATTGCTTTTACTTAAAAAAACCAAATGACATCTAATTACTTGTTTGGTTAGCACATTATCACATTACATGCTACAAAAGAGGAATCATAATTATTGAAAATCAGTTCAAGGGCCACTGAGAATGGTCCCATGAACAATTGTATAGCGCTTTGGGTGACCTTGGTCTGTAAAATGCGCTACATAAATAAAGATTATTTACTAACATGTGCCATACAGCGTTAAAAGGAGCTCAAGTATTGAAACTCTGCCCTAGACACATGACATCTCACTAACTTATAAGACTAATCCTTTGGAAACTCCAGCAGGCTCTGGTGATCTTTATCAAAGAAACATTAGCTTTAGTATAAATCATCGGCCGGACAAGGGCTTCTGACAATCTGACCCTGACTTGGCAGCAGTCCGTTCAGAGAGTGGTGCACCTGGTGGGGGCTTTCACGGCCTTCTTCCTGGGAGTGGGCTACTTCTGGGTGCAGCTGTTTCTGATGTACCAGGCCAAGCCTTCACACGACCGGCACTGGGTGGGTCCCTGCAGGGCCTTGTGCTGCGCCCTCCGCACCATACTGGTCATCACGAGTATCCTTCTGATGTTTTCAAAAGAAAAAAACATTTAACGCTCAAAACTTTCACATAAGGGCCCTATATGTGACATCACTATATTTACATATTTAGCTATCAGTGCTGTCATATCTAAACCAGGACTGAACTAACTGGAATAGGACATATACATTTCTGTATCTCAAATAAGAGAATTGTGGAAAATTTCTCTCTTGTAGAACAGTAAACAAAAACAAAATGTTATGTTTAGGAAATCAAGAATTAAACAGAAGGTGGAGCCCTGAATCTTTATATCTTGCTTTGGTGGATTACAGACCCAAGAGTCCTATAATTCTCGCCAACAAAGATGCTTAATAATTAAATTCATTACATTGATGAGGAGCTGACAACATTATAAATGAGTTATGTAACAACAATAAACAATAAATGGTCTCTAAAAAAATCTTGTTTCCTAGCAAGACAGACACCCAATTATTGGTTATTACGGTCAAAATGAACAAAAACACGTATAAAAAGTAACAATCAAGTTTTTGATGTATGATTTCAGCTTCATGTCCAAAATAGTGTTGAAATTGATACTTGAAAATTTAATGGTGAAATAAACGTTCTTGAAAAACTTGAAATTAAAAGACGCCATATGCCAAAAACAACCATGTGACTGATTACCTTGGGTCAGTATTGTGTGGTAAATTGTGTTTACTTTGGATTCCATTAGCATGTTCAAAATGAAGCCTTTTGGACATAATTTCAGCTCGGTACGCTTAAAGGATTATTGGAAAAGCTGCGTGTGGACCCCTCTCTCCTCTGTAAAGTCCTTGACAGTTTTCAGTGGTGGTGCTGGCGCGCACTGGGCACCGCTCTGCTGCAGCCCTGTGTGAGTGGGCCTTGGTGATGCTCTTCTTCTGTCTCTTTGGTTTGTTTGGAGCAGAGTTCAGGCACATGGACTGTCACCAGCTCAAAGTGCAGAGACACGTCCTCCAGAGCCACTGCAGTCCGGTGTCTGTGGTCTCCAACCACCACCTCACACCTGTGCACGTCCGCTGAGACACAAGCACCGCTTTCTTCAGTGACACATACGGTACATCAATCTCCACATCACAGAGAGTATGAGAGTCTGTCATTAGTTTTGTATGTGCATTTTTGTGTATGTTTAATATTTTTTACATAACAACAATAGGAATGTACAGGTGTATAAATGTATACAAATGTGATATAAAACTGTTGTCCCATACTGTCACTATAGCTTTAAATGCGTTTTATCATTAAAACAAATTTTAAAACATTTATTTCATAAATTAAATTCTGAGACTTACCATAACTGCATATACACACAAGGTGGCGCCATTGCTCTAAGTTATTCTCTAAGTCTAAGTGCTTTGTGAGTGATAAATTGTCTCAAAACTATTACTCAAAGTATGTATATATTTTTAAATCCATCATTGACAACTAGTATTAGGAGTAACTAGTTACAAAAGTAACTTGTCACTTTTTATAATAGTCCTTTACTCTTTTATTGAGTAACTGGTCATTGGTCATATTCTCATCATTTCTAGTTAGAAGCATACTTAATTTGAGATCACAAATGTTCTGGACCCGAAACAGAATATTATAAACAACACTTTTTTTTAACACTATCAGCTTAATATATTTTTTTGTTTTGGACCAAAGTAACTAAAACTCGTAGTTCTGTAATACAAATATTCTAAGTTTTCATCCCAGTAACTAATAATATTTAATTTAATATAATTTTTGAGTAACTTGCCAATTTTGATTACTATGGGATAAGCCTGTTCCACATACAGCGGCTGATGCCAGGATCAGCAGGTTTCCCACAGTCCTCCACCTGCTGCTGGGAGCACAACACCAGCTGAGAAGAGATCTTTCCTTATGACACAAAATCCAGCTGCACTGGTGCTATAACTCATTCTTGCATGTGTGGGCGCTGTGGAGTCGGAGAGAAATGACAGTGATGGGAAAATCTCAGTCCTGGTGTTGTGCCAGTATGTTCGTATGCCAGGAGTTAAGACAGGCGTTCTATAAGCTATTGTAACCAGGGTTTCTGAGAGGAACAAAGAAATTCCCTGATACTTGCAGAAGTCTTATTCCAGTCCCATTTGAAACATCTTAGCCTTGTTTAAGTCAAAGTTTTCTCTATTTAGAACTTTTATTTTGGTTCCCGTCATGAAAACTCCATAGCTGCTGTGTTGGGTTCAGCTTGGGAGAAAGTAGTCCCTCGTGTCAGCAGCATTCTTTCACAGAGGCATGGCTGTGTGGACACCGGAGGGGGCAGCGGATCAGACGGATGTCTTGGAATTTGATGGGGATTTTTCAAGTGCTGTTAGTTCCTACTGGTCTGTACTTTGAGATAGTAATGTCAACTATGCCTGTTGCCACAGAAATGCTCACAGAATTAGACTTAAAACCACTAGACTCTGATTTGAAAATATGGTTAAAGTGCAGTATATGGACAATAAGTGTCAAATCTCATTTGGCAACAGAACAGCTCAACTGCATTGTGCTGTTGTCTTTGCACAAACACAGGGTGCACCAGGTGAATATTCTGCTGCAGAGTTCCGTCCAGTCTTCCCCTGGGTCATTGAACAGCACCACATTTTTATTGGCTTAAATAATATTTTTACTTCTGTTTTGTATAATGACCTGGTGATGCCACCTTAATGGAGATAAATAACTTCAATTCAACATTCCAAACAGAGCCTTACATCTCCGTGGCGACAAGAAGATGGAGGACCCCCCGCCTGTAAAGTTATACAAAGCACCTTTAATGTGGCTCAGTGTTGGACTGTCAGTGGGTTATGAGACTGTAGAAAAGGGATGATTATTCCTTGATTTTTCTGTAATAGGTTTTTAAAATGTGTATTATTACTTTAATTTCCCGGCGGTCCCCTTTCATTTCTGTTAAGTTATTTCATCTTTAATTTTTATGGCACTCTAATGGCAATTGATGGCGTTTTTTGTTTTTGTTTTATTTTTGTTTTATTACTACAGAAGAAATGTACAAATAATTATCCTTTTTATATTCGGACTGGTATGTAAATGTTGTACATTGTCTTGGAAAAAACAAACAAATTTTGAAAGAAAATAATAATAAAAAGGGATGGATGAGTGTGATCAGTTCAATTAGAATGAAGTTCAGTTATGTTCATTTCAGGAGGTGGGATATCATCTGCATGAATCTAGAGGAAACTTGTTAAAACCAGTCTTCAAAAATATATATAGTCAAACTTATAGTCAGTGTTGCCAACTTAAAGACTTTGTCGCTAGATTTAGCGACTTTTCAGACCCTATAGCGACTTTTTTTCTAAAAAGCGACTAACGACAGATCTAGACAAAGCATTAAAATCATTAAATGTTGTTTATGTTGAAATTATTTTTGTACATTTGTAGTTCTAAACATATTTAGGGTGTTTTTTACTCACTTTTGTCTCTCCCACGACCTTATTCCTCTCTCATACAGCGTCCGTTACAGTTATTTGCAAATTGCCAATTATGCAAATTAGGCGATGACTTCATTTAGCGACTTCTAGCGACTTTTGGGACAGCCAATAGCTACTTTCCTTACTGAGGAGTTGGCAACACTGCTTATAGTCAAAGGAATCACTTTATTCCCACTGTCCTGCACTGTGCTCTGCTACCTTGAAAAGTCCCCCTAAAAAAAAAAGGATCTTATCTTGAAAAATTTTCAAGGAAACAAGCAGGAGACAAGAGGTTTGTAGAGACACAGGCTCTCTTATGCCGTTTTTCCACGGTCCGAGTACGGTACGTTTTGACTCTACACGGCGCGCCATGGCCCAGTTCGCATGCTTTTCCATCAAAAATAGTACCCCCTAGTATGTCCTCAGCGTTGTCAGACCACGTCATTTACGTGTGACGCGTAACTAGTACTGGTGCGGTGCATGGATTTATTATAATACCAGAGCAAGTGTTTAATAGAAAATTCAGCACAGCACGAGTAGTTTTTGAAAATGCTTATGTCTTAAAAGAATGACTCAGACACTGTGAAGTCAATGGTGCTGACTGCTCTGTACAATCTGAATGGGACATACCTGTAGCAACAGCAGCCTGTGTAGCAGAGGAGGAGGGCTGCATGTCCAAGGATACTGCTAGGCTATAGCTAATGCTAGCGCTAGCTCAAGACTCTGCTCACTCACTAACCCTGGATTCCAAAGCTACTACAATACTACACTTAACACATCTATCACTGCCATCAGAGGAGGATCCAGGGTTTAAACTCGTCATATGGCAACTCGAGCAGTAAAGGACCGAGGGAGAGACAGCGGCAGCCATAGGGGTAGCGAGTTAGCGGCTAAGCTAGGCTAAGCTAGGCTAGGCTAGTCCGGACTCGGGTCCGGACTACAGCAGACTCCGAGACCAGACAAACAATCGATACCCAAACCTCAGCTACAATAATAATAAATGAATGAAACACAGTCTTGGGATACAATCACAGATTTATTGAAAACAAAAGTAAAGTGCAAAACCAACAGTTTACAAAGTCGTATGTACGTATGTCAGAGACCAGGTCCAGATGAGAATACTCCGGTCACTCATTACTCGTTGGTAATCTCCACACTTATGGGAAGAGATTCTCATACAAATATACACACAACAACTTAAATACAACTTAAAGCACAGTAGCACAGGGAGGACGTTAGCTTAGCTTGCTATCGATAGCTAAATGAAGCTAAATATAGCTAGCTCACTGTGTACAACAGACAATCGAGCATTTACACAGTAAATACATTTCAGTGAGAGCTTTCGGGGATTCGTAGCTAACCAGTTATTTCAGGATTACCACAGACTAGTCACAAATCCAGAGCTGGTGATCTCCCTGAAAACTGTGTTGAGCCTCGAGCTGCCTTTGAATTCTTTCTTTGGCCTGAAGAGAGGAACGTGTGGACCTCGTCCACCGACCAGGACCAGGACTTTTGGTGCTTTCTGTGCAATTCCATTTCTCTGGAGTGAGGAGGACGTAATGTAGCCGAAGCAGAGCCGAGCAGAGCAGCCGGTTTTAAAGATGGCGGTTGAGTTGTTTTTCCCAAAGGGTCAGATGCCGCTTCCAGTGACGACACTCGTTGACCAATCAGTGTAAGGCAGTGGGCCGACGTGACGTCATGGCACGGGTAACATGGGGATGGAACCACGGCTGAGGCAGTACGAAAAAGTACTCAAATCTCCCATTCCATCCACTAGTGGAAAAGCAAAATAGGTGCGCCGTACCGTACCGAAATTAACTGAACTGACACTGTATAAAAACGGCATTACATACATTCTAATTTAATACTTGCATGCAAAAGCCAGATCTCGGAAGACCTTTGAAGCTGTGCAGGGCAATACAATACAATACAAAACAATTTATTCTTGTATAGCCCTAGGTCACAACAGAAGTCATCTCGGAGGACTCAACAAAACCATTGAAATCACCAACACAGGTCAGAGAATCAACAGTTAAAACACATGGAGAATATAAAGCACACACAGAAGAAAATGTCCATACATGTTGTAGAATGTTAAAGTGTCCTGATCATCACCAATCCTTTCTGTTGGACACTAACTGTCCAACAAGACCCTCCTGCATCGACAAGGAAAACTATTAAAAAACCCAGTGTGAAAAAGTGAGAAACCTTGGGGAGAACTAGGGAAACCCACAGGGAGGGAGACCCACCAACCAGGGCAGAGTCTGGTTATTACAGTGATGGGAGACTTCTGGGAACACCAGGTGCCACAGTGGGGCAGGTGTGGTGACACAATGTGTCCCTAGGCAAGACACTTCACCCACATTACCTAGAGTCTGATGTGTGTGTGAATGGTTGGTGGTGGTCTAAGTGGCACATGGTACATACTGGTTGCTTTGCTTCTTCTGTCAGTGTGCCCCAAGGTGGCTCTTGCTACAGTAGTAGTTTATCACCACCGTGTATGAAGTGAAAGAATAGTGACGTGTGAAGTGTCTTTGAGTTTCCAGAAAAGTGCTATGCATAACCAATGCATTATTTCTATAGTACTATTTTCAGTGCAATAAAAACAAA